TACGGAATCATATCTGTTATCAAATAATAAATTTAAATGTAGGTACAATTTCTAAAGTGCTTACTTAGCACTAAGATAGTTACAACGTAGTGAAATGAATCGCGAAACTCAATCAGATCGTTTTCATATTTTTTCACGATTTTGTTACACGGTCAATTTTATGATCATCATATCGGTAAACGGCAGGCTAGGCTTTTTTGAACACCTATAGGTACTTTTAAAAATACAACTCTAGAAACAACATGGGTACGCACAAGGACTACCAAGTTTGGATATCGATATCGGTCAAGTACAGTCGACAGCATATCAGACTCTACATTTTTGATGCAAAATAGCTTGTATTACATCGAGATAAGACGCCACTATGTTCAGCTTGATGTGCTGTCGTCCGTACAATAGAGTCGACGCCGTGCAGTGATTATCGCATTCAAATAATATCAACAATTTTTAACGGTCTTTATTATAAACAATCAAACTTTAAATATTAATATTAATTAACAATACAAGATAACGAAGAAACAATATTCTTATCGATAAATCAATAGTTTCCGTACTTCGACAAGTGCTCTACCCGAGTTAGCAGGGCGATTAGATACAAGCTTTTACAATTTAGATAGTTTCACATAAACACAGTAACTATTCCCTTTTTCGATTCTAGCTTTTTACATTACTTTCTAATTAAGAAGAAACAAGTTCCTTGTAAAAGACTTCAATTCAAATCTGGAGGTAAAACAGTTCAGTATGCATGTTAGGAGTTCTATCACGCTACACATCTTGGTGTTATAAATTACGCTAGGCTTGATCTAAATCTCTGCCAAAATATAGTCAAAACATGTGCTGTAAGTATGTTGAAACAGGGACTTGAACAGTGAGTTCTGACTGTCTTCTTTTATTGAAAACCTGTGGATTTTCTCTTTGAAAATGTATGATTTTTCACCTGAAAATGTTTGATTTGCCCCTGAAAATGATTGTTTTTCCCCTGAAAATGTATGATTTTCCTATGGTACGGTACATTCACATCCGATTTCCCTGAAAAAATGTTTTTTTGAATGATCAAACGAACTTACCAAGTGAAGTTCGATCTAAATTATCCTGTTTTCGCCGAAGAGATTTATTTTACCATGTAGTACCCCTGTACGACAACCCAATCCGCACACAATATTCAGCGTAGTAGTATTAAAAAACAAAAGAGCGGGCAACCCCACCCCTACCACGCTGTGGGCTCGGTGTCCGAGCGGTCTCATTATATTTAGAGAAGAGATGACATTGACGTTTACCTCCAGGGAAGAAGATATAGAAANAAGTTTTGTCACACTTATTCTTTAACAAATTCGCTCGTCAGTTTGCACACATTTCCCAACAGAAATAAAACGTATTTATTAATAAAAAGTCATTATTTTGAAGAGCACTCGTACGGCCCGTGTGCGGTGTGAGTGATCCTAAATAATCGTCATAACTTTGGAACGGGACGTGCAAGGAATTTCTGAATTTGTTAATAGTTTTAACATATTCTTAACAATTTTTCTATACTATAAAAAGAAGTGGAAAGGCTTTATTTTCTGAAATAAACATGTTGACGTTTTCTTAAAGCGTGCGGTATGAGTGCTCCTATTTATTGGCCATAACATTTTTATCTTAGGTTTAACAAATTTTTAAACTTCATCGCAATGTTTTAACATATTTTAAGTAAAACTTCCTCGATTTTTGTTAAGATTGAAGCAAGGATCACTCAATCCACATGCACATCCCGAGTTAGCAGGGCGATTAGATACAAGCTTTTACAATTTAGATAGTTTCACATAAACACAGTAACTATTCCCTTTTTCGATTCTAGATTTTTACATTACTTTCTAATTAAGAAGAAACAAGTTCCTTGTAAAAGACTTCAATTCAAATCTGAAGGTAAAACAGTTCAGTATGCATGTTAGGAGTTCTATCACGTTACACATCTTATTGGTGTTATAAATTACGCTAGGCTTGATCTAAATCTCTGCCAAAATATAGTCAAAACATGTGCAGTATGTTGAAACAGGGACTTGAACAGTGAGTTCTGACTGTCTTCTTTTATTGAAAACCTGTGGATTTTCTCTTTGAAAATGTATGATTTTTCACCTGAAAATGTTTGATTTGCCCCTGAAAATGATTGTTTTTCCCCTGAATATGTATGATTTTCCTATGGTACGGTACATTTACATCCGAATTCCCTGAAAAAATGTTTTTTCCGAATCAATTGTTTAAAAATTAGAGGTGTTCTTGATGTTTTTGTGTGGTGTCTTAGAAAAAAGTACTTATCTACTTCAATTTATGGGAGAAATTCCACAGTCATGTTCTATGTCTGAACCCCCTAGTCAAGTTTTTGCTAACGTAACTAGTCCCATACTCTGTACACTTTACAAATCCGTGCTCAAATCTAACCTAGTGATATTTATTTTCGTTTTAAAGATACGAAATTGGTCGATAGACGTTACGCTATGAATTTGCATTACAAGAAATATACAATACGCTACATACACGAATGAAGGCCTCCAGTACAGTTATAGGTACAAAGACTTAAATATTTCATAGGAAATTACCACTAACATTAAGATTAACGAATTGGCAAATTACTATCTAAAAATTAGGTCCGTAGAAATATGTAGGATGTATTAATAAAATCCATTTTAAATATTTTAGCCTTTGCTTTTTCGTTTAGTTGGTAAGTTACCTATTAAAATATTATGTTAGCCAAATGGATGAAACACAACAGTTTAAAGACGACAAAATATATTTTACTAAGAAAATGCTAACGACAGATATGCCTAATTGTTACCCTTATTCAAAAGAAAATTAAACAGTGCTTTGTCGAATGAACGCTTACTAACTTTTTGTAAAGTATTGGTGAAGAACAAAACTATTATTTAGGTAGTTAAAACTGCTACATAATACTATCCGGGAAAATGTTAAAGGACTGTTTTAATTTATTAATTCATTCATGAATAAGGGTGACATTTTATGTATATCGATCGAAGAAAGTTCGTTACAGTTATATTAGCGACAAACAGTAAAAGCCAATTTAGACGATATCTTTATTCTTTACACTAGCGAGCAGTAGGTAGTATAATCCTTAAAACGTAGTATTATCTACAATCACAAACAAGGGAACTCACAAAACAGCATCATGGTGTACATAGTTCTCGCTTACAATAACAAATGAACTTACTTTTTACATTATGACCATAATTCTCACAGCTTTGTCTTTCATTGTTCGCTTGTCAGCGAGTAGTACGAGTAAATTCGTTAAATACTAAACTATTAGGTACAATATTATCTAAAAGTAGAGGTATTGGCGTTACAGTCACAAAATAACACTAACGATACCAATTCGCCGCGAACGGAACGGACGAAACTTTTGGAGCCGAGATGGGTGGATTCGGCAGATTCTAAGATATTTAGTTGCCGAAGTTCCGGTCCGCGCGAAAACTTCCGTCGGCCATTACCGCCCGCCCACTGCCCGGTTCCGTAGCTACTAACACAAGTCGAATTATTAATGAACTGCAAACAATTAATGACCTAGGACGAGAATTTCGGGCATTCAAACCCAATAAAATATGCGGAAAAAATAAGTTCATTAAACAATCACACGAATTAATTTCTTTCTACTTATCAGAACTTTGAGATCAATAATAGTGCTACCGATTATATCAGGAACACGTAATTTAAATTAAATGACAATTTCCACCGAATATACTATACACACTGATTTGCAATCGGAACCTCGCAACTAAATAATAAATTGGTTCAGGGTGAGTTAAGTAATAAGGCCTACTATAGGGTAGTAAGTATTCGTAACTATAATATAATTTTAGTATAAATATTTAGGCAAATAATGTTCTTAAGATTTACAATAATTTAAATACAATTCTTACTCTACATGTACATTATCTCATTATTAAGGGATCACATAGAGTTAGAATAAGTTTTAGATATAAAAGGTTTAATCGCCTACCTATTTATCAGTTATGGGACACAAAAACAGCAAAATAAAAACCATTGCACTGTCTACTCGTACCATTTCACAAAACTTTTTCAAAATAATTTGTACTGTTTATTCGCGTATAAAAGCCATCCTGAACTCTGTGCATTCATACAATTTGAATTTCTTTAGGAAACTCCCTTTTTAGGCTTTAGAGGATTTAAAAAGAGTGGATGGATCCCTTTTGGTTCGTTTTCAAAGAGGAATTTAAATAGCACGACTTATTTGGATCCAAGGGTTGCATTCAGATAGCAAACTGTTTGGAAAAGAGGGTAAGCTCGAACCTTGCCCTCGGAAATGTATACAAAACAGGGTCCTAATTGTATATCGAAATGTATCACGATTGCTTTCAAAATCACGTTTGTGTACATCCATCACTAGCTCTTACAGTCCTGAAAATGCTTTGTATTGCCGCAGAAATAGGTGTGCGGTGCACCTACGTCATACTGAAAGCGTTTGCGATTAGGGTTGCCAGGCGTCCGGCTTTAGCCGGACATGTTTGGCTTTTTAGGGACTTGTCCGGCCAAATATTGCCTTGTCCGGCCTGTCCGGCTTTTGTTAGGCTTTTTATTTAGTTGCCGCACCAGGCAAAAGTCGAGCCACAGAATCATATGAAGCGCACGCATCAGGATGTTGGTTAGCAACCGATGATGATAGTACTCACTCATGAGCTGACACTAATTGCTTTTGTCACATGTCCGGCTTTTAGGGTAAAATGTCCGGCCAAATGAAGCACAAAGTCCGGCTTTTGTGATTTTGGACCTGGCAACCCTATTTGCGATAAACGTTGAGGCACGATAGGGCACAGTTAACACCATCAATCAAGAAAAGGAGCTCTTCATAATATCCCTGAAAGTTTTTAATTTGCTGTAAATTATCCATTTTAAGTAACTTTGATATCAATAGTTGGTCAAATTAAGTTCGACGGCTGCGTCATGGGTTTCACTTTGCCATACAAAATTTATGGGATATTCTCGTTTTTGAGAATTGACTAGTGATGTCAACTATACTATAATAAGAAGCATTTTTGTCTGAGGGACCTGAAAATGAATCAGCAAACAGTACGATATTACTATGTGCCGTGCCAAAATAACAACTTATCAAACAAAATTATAAAACTATCAGATTCTTGAGTAGGGCAAATAATAAATCCATTTAATATTTTAATACAAAACAACAATGATTCGAATGTGGTAGATACAAAGAGCCTTAATTCAAAATACGTAAATCCATATTTTATAAGGCATCAAAAAACGTTAATTCTACTAACAATGACATTTTGTTTTCAGGAGATAGGCAGGTAGGTACTTATTCCGTTTGAAATTTCTTTAAAGTATAAAGAGTAGTTGGTATTGTCTCTTTCTTTTTATTGCCTCAGATATTTTTACTGACTACTTATAATATCGTTTTCATTCAGACTTACTCATCATTAAGCCAAACCGGATTTTAAAATACTTACCCATTGTTGATCCTGCCTATTAAGTATTTAAGTTACTTAGTGGATGTCGAAAGTTTATTTGTAGTCTTTACCGTTGTAACTTTAATTTAAAATTTAAGGAATTGTGCTACGAATATCTTTGAGGAAATAAAGTTAGAATTTTTACAGTATTGTGTTCTACTAGGATATGATTTTAGTCATAAGTATGTGAGTAAAGGGCACGGTAAACTTATTTCTAACGAATAAGTTTTTATTTGAATTTAAAAATTATATCATTATTCTCCTTATTCAATATTATCGCTCGTAAGTACGGTACTTCAAATTAATACTAAGAGAATGCTAAAGTGTATTTCTAACAATATCGTCAATGCATTAATAATATTTATTCATAATCACTTAATTAAATCGTATTCGTATTATACGTTATTAATTTAGAATAAAAATACAATGTGTAACTAGGAAATTCACAATGGAAAAAATGGAAACGTCACAATTAAATAGATCTCAATATCACTTTGGTTTGGAGTATAAATACATTTGGGTTTTATCAAGTCATTTGCTTGTATCACTTGCCGCGTCCTGCTGGGCACGCTGCTGGAGAAACTTCTTGAGGGTTTCCCTCAAACAGCAGTTTCTAGGTCCTCAGAGACCAATTGGAAATGCTCTTGACCTGAAATAAAATTCACGGTTCAACAATAAACTTTGTAAGGGAAATCGAGGAATGCGGGGGTTTCTGTAGAACGACAAATACAACTTTTAACTGGCTACTACATGGATTATCTACTACATGACTATTTTTACGATTTGTAAACTTTATATTGTTCAGGTCTATGATTCAAAACCCGTTGTGCTAATGCGCTAACTTAACAAATCTGACGTGAATATGGTAATTCAGGTTCAAGATTACTTACGCAATACGACGTTATTACGTCTTTTGAATCTTAAATATTATAATTTGTTTTCAGAGTGTAAATTACATGCAAATAATAATTATGACCGGGATCAAATTCCAATGTTATACTGTACTCAGAAGTTTTTGGAATTAGCTTTAGTGGGTTTGGAACTAGTCTGCAGTCGACGAAAACTTTTAGCCACCAAACTTGTTACAGAAACCAGGTACATATCTAAGTAGTAGTTGGAAATAGCAGCGCATGTAAAATTTTTACGAGTAACTCAATCAACTTTATTTCGCTCATCGGTTGACCTACGATACAAATGTGAAACTCAAGATGCTTTGTTATTTTAGAAGATGCTTACAGTTCTAGTAGGATAAGTAAACAGACCACAAACAAACAGCAGTAAATATACAAGCTGTAGCCAGATAGTAGTGCTTACTGCTTACCATCCAAGACTAAGTTTATTGTTTCAGCGATGTTTGATCGAAACACCACGGTACAATAGTCGATTCCTGTTTGCTGAGTTTACAAACTAGTTGTTATATTGTTTGCGAAACACTCGTATTCTATTGTTTATCCGCTGTTATCTTACCATATCTCGTAACTACTTACTAATACACATAAATAGTTATACATCTCACGAGCTACTAGCCTGATTCTGAAAAGTCTTTCATGAAAGATGAATAATGTTTATACACCAGTAGGTAATGTTTACGCTTCACCCTTTAGTCCTTTCGAGTAAGAGAAGCAGTCTCGCTCAAAATGTGTCATGTCATCAACATAATCAGTATTATAGCGGCTAACTCTCTAAGTTAGCAGCGACGTGGTATCTTCCGCTTGTATAGAGCGGTGCCTTGTCAAGACCGCCTTATTTCAACCGAGTAGGTAAATAAAGCATCCCAAGCAAGCCTTAGTACTCAATGTGCATTGAATGTACCTTAAGATGGCTGATTCGATATATTAGGTTAAAATACTCACTCTCTAGTAAGCAACGAGGTTGTGTTCCTTCGCACGTGGATAGAGCTATATAACCTTATCTTCAGTACTCAATGTGCACTGAATGCACCTAAAATGTATGTCAGAATACTCACTCTTTGAGTAAGCGGCATGGTAGTTGTCCTCGGCGCGCAGAGCTAGATGCCGCGGCGTGTGACTTGAGTTAGTTCTGTCAAGTGAGCAAAGCGCCCATAAGCCCTTATGTGCATTGAATGTACCTAAAGCTTGCTAAGATTTGAACACTCACTCTCTAAGTAAGCAGCGAGGTCGTGGTCCTCCGCGCGCAGAGCTAAATGCCGCGGCGTGAGCCCGGCGTGGTCCTGCCTTGTGAGGGACGCGCCGCCCGCCACCAGCATGCAGCATATCGCCCGGCGCTTGTGGGCGGCCGCCTTGTGCAGTGCCGTCTGCCCCCGCTCGTTGTCTCGCATATTCAGGATCGCCGTGGGGGCACAAGCAATCAAGTACTTCACGATCTCCTTGTTCCCGTAGCGAGCGGCTATGTGCAGCGCTGTTTGCCCACTCGCGTCGATCGATAGCAGCGAATAGCCGGCCGCGTGCAACTCTTTCATCTACGAGATGCACATTAGGATATTATTTTTTGTATCGGAAAAATATTTCACATTAAAGTAAGTAGCGGCCTCTCAATCCTGTAAAAGGTTTCGGGATAAAGTTTTATGCGAGCGAGCCCACAGATTTTTTTTTTGATGTTAGATACATTAGTGATATCTAAAGAATGGCTTACTTTGTAGGCAGGTATCATTTCACTTTCATTTAGGTAAGTATATTAGCAATGAAAACTATTATGTAAATACATTTTCATTAAATTATACAGGGTGTCCCAAAAACAATGGATAACCCTATAACCATCGATAGGCCTCGCCATGGTCTCCCTAACGTCAAATTTTGACCCCAGTAAAAATATCACCGTTTTCAAGATTTTTAAGTTTTTGTGCATTTTTAGAAAATTGCCACCTGCGATTACTTTTTCTCATGCCATTTCTACAAATAAGGATACTTTTCAATCTAGTTTTTTTCCTTATCACAAGGGATAGTTGGGCTATCAAAAGAAAAGATTAAAGTTCAACAAACTGGTTTAAAAGTTTGAAAATTTTAAGAAATTGCAGAGAAGAAAGAAAAATTAATTCATTGTNGTATATTTACGAACATTCAGTGAAGGATAGGATGAAGGAAAATATGGTTGGAAAATTCAATGTAAAAGCAAATCATGTAGACTAGCTTTCAGGGAATGAGTAAGTACACGTTTTTGATACACTATCTATTTAACTACTTACTTTTAAGAATCCATCAAAACATAATCTCTTAACTAAATAAACATTTATCATAACATACGCAAATTAATCTTCAATTTTATCAACATTGTTACAATTCAATGGAATTATTTGAGATTATAGAGTTATCTTTTAATTTTGTTTGACAACGTAGGTAAATTAACAAAGCTATCTGACCACATTTTAAAATAATAATTATGACGACGGCAATGGATCTGAGATTGCTCACTACATATCTATATTTAAGGCGATTATCAAACATAACGTATTTGCCTCACGTTTTTCGTAGTTAGCGACTCTCACTGGCATACTTATTACTTACCCATATTTTTTTGCAAATTAATAATTAAAAAATATTTCCAAACGTACAGGCTGCATAACGAGAGTTAAAAATGACGGGACTCTTTTATTGTAATTACACTAATAATAATTGGTACAAAATATAATGACTTTTTAGAAAACTCCTATCAAAACTTTGTGAATATTTTTTAAGATCAGCCTAGGCTTACTACGGACATGACTATAAGAAAACAAACAAGTGTTACATTTTTCTATGAAAAGGGACAGATCTAGATTTGATATGTAACCTTTCTTTCAACGAATTTTCATATTTTTTAAGGTAAGGAAAATCTTCTTAATATCAGCTTTATCTTAAGGATGTTATCCACTTGGTAATCTTGGTAACTCGTAAAAGATAAGATAGGCTTCTGTAAAATAAGGTAAATCAAGAAACATTTTTCTTGCAAAATTGATTTCAAACGAATCTCCTATCTGACTAATACTGAGCGGATGATGTGTAAGATATAGGTGTAGATTTTGAAATGACTAATGCTGATGAATATCCATTGATAAGGATTTAAAGCAGATAATAATGACGTACTTCACTTTCCGGTACATTGTATCCTTAAAGATAGACGTTGGATATTGTATAACAACGATAAGTAAGTATTAGAATGTTGTAAGGCTTGCAAACGGTTTTGTTGCTAGATTTATCTATCCCACCTTACTTATAGATTTGCGACGTAACTTTTCCGTAAGACCTAATTAGTAATACTAACTAGTTAGTAATGAAAACTTGATGTTTTCTGTGAAGTTAAGATTTGCCGATCGATCAAAACATTGAGACATGAAATAGGTAGTTTGATTCTTTTGGCTTTAGAATAAGAAAACTTATTCACAGTCTCCCAGGTTTTATTAACATAACACTAAGCTGAGCCGTTTGCATGATTGATTACAAGTATATTAATAGTAAATCTTACCATTTTCAAATCTCCGACTTTAGCCGCTTTGAGAAGTGCGTCAGATGTTTTTTCCAATAAATTTCTGAAACAATATTAAACCTTTACCCTTTGTCGAGGTCAACTTCAAAGAGAAATAATATTGTTGGGTGTAGTTATCAAATATTAAGTAAGTATTACTCGTATATTCTTTGGTAAAACAGGATATTATTAGCATGATTTCTGACTAAAATAAATATACTATTATTATAGGAATCACTTACATGTAGGTGAATTCTATGTTTGGGTAATAAAGTTAGCACCAGGCGCGGATCCACCGTTGTGGGCACTGTGGGCGTGCCCACAACCCTAATTTGCTTGTTTTAATTATGATCTATTGATAAGATCAATAGGTATGTATGTATGTCCGGGCATGTAGTGATCCAACTCTCACATTGCTAACACCGGTCAACAAAAAAAATATTTTTTTTTGCGCATGGATTTTACTTATTATATTCTGATTATATAACCTAATTTATATAAAAAAGTGCGATTACAAATCGAAAATATTTGCTTTTGAAGAAGTTATAGCGATTTAAATTTTCCATCTTCATAGTAGAATGTCTCTAAAGATGCACGTCACATTCTCATTGGGATACATTTATAGATAATTATGGGGACTTATTCGCAAGAACAGGGGGTACGCTTCCGTCAAAATACAGGGTGACTGGAACTGAACCCGCCATAGCTAATACGCGTATAGAGGAGGTCATTAGATAATTATTGAACCTTACTTTCTATACCTAAAGTTTTATAGTTTAGGAGATATGTCAATTTTTATACTTTTTTCAGATTTTTCCGAAATTTGACCTAAAAACTGCTTAATTTTTTTTTCTCGCATGAAATTAACCGATTTTTTATTTGACACTAATATCGAATAAGCCATTAGTTTCGAATTCGATTTAAAAAAAACTAATGGTGATAATGGATTGCCAATGATCTTAAAAATATCTCTACCTTCTCTTCTTTCCAATATATCACACGTAGTAATTAGATATTGAAATTTACTAAAAATGTAAAGTTTATGGAAGAAAATGGAGTAATAATACGAAAATTATTCATACAAAGTTTCTTCAAACATCTCATATTTTCTGCTATACACCTTTTTATAACTATTTTGCTGTGTTTTTTGAAAAATGATTTTAAAAATAATAACCACATGATGAAGAAAAGAGTTTAAAAAAATTCAAAATCAACTTTGTATGGATAATTTTTGTACTATTACTCCAGTTTCTTCCATAAACTTTGAATTTTTGACAAATTTCAATATCTAATTACTACGTGTGACATATCATTGGAAAGAAGAGAAGCTAGAGATATTTTTAAGATTATTGGCAATCCATTATCACCATTAATTTTCTTTAAAATTGAATTCGAAGTAGAATTTTTTATCGTGGTTTGTACTTTTGTTACACTTTGGCGGCTCGTAACTAGCTATTTAATCATTATCTGGATCAGAAATTTATTTTATTTGAATAAAGACATATTCGATATTAATATCAAATAAAAAAAACTGTTGAAATCATGCGAGAAAAAAAAATTAAGCAGTTTTTAGGTCAAATTTCGGAAAAATCTGAAAAAAGTATAAAAATTGACAAATCTCCTAAACTATAAAACTTTAGATATAGAAAGTAAGTTTCAATAATTAGCAAATGACCTCCTCTATAAGCGTATTAGCTATGGCGGGTTCAGTTCCAGTCACCCTGTATAGTGGGATTTGAGAGACGACGTTACCAAGGCCAGTATCCTGAAAGCATGATAGGGTTAGGTTTTTATGAGAAAAATCTTCTATGGAACATGACAGGGAAGTAGAACTTTTCATTTTTAATAAATATTTGGACTCTATTTTAAAACTTCTCTGTTGAGAATGAATCTTAAATGGATGTTTAGAATGTTTTAATAATAAGAAAGAATAAAAGAAAGAAAGAAAGAAAAATATTTGGCAACAAATTGAATCAGCTCTATGTCCATGTTTCATACATTCATTGATATGCATTTTTCTATTTTTTAAATATAAAAGCAAATTCAGAACAATTTTTTGTTGTTATTCTTATTTCTAGGTATTAAAGCAATAAAAATAAGCTATGCATAACCCGTGCGCAAAAATACTGTAGACAGTTGTAATTTTTGGTGGCTGTGCCCACAACCTTTTTTGAGGGCTGGATCCGCGCCTGGTTAGCACAAGGTGTAGCTAATAGTTGTAAGTTAATAGGCTACGAAGACTAGTTCTAGACCTAGATAGATAAATATAAATAAGTGTATCTCACCTAAAGCCAAACACTTCTTGGTCAAGTCCAAAAAGTTTTTCGTGTATGCTGCATGCAATAGAAGAGAGAAGAAGTAGAGTGCAGAACTCAGACCGGGTGCATCGTGCGCGAGAGTCAGTCGTGTGTTCTAAATGTACTCGACAGCACATCAAACTATACGTTCTTGTTGCAAAATAACACTTATTACAAGTATATAAGATGCCACAGTTAAGCTTGATGTGCCATCGTCCGTACTATCACTTCACACCTTAAACATTATAATCACTCCACACTTGATTTTTCTAAGTCAACTAGAATTCCAAAGCGTGCAGATCTAAGACTACATAAAAATTCTATAGCTTCTCACTGAATTATGATTGTAAATAGAGCAATAGGAGAATTTTCCACGATTTTTCATTAGTGATTAAGTCACTTGACGTCGTGTTGTTCTGTTTACATAGGACGCTAGTCGCTAATTTAGAAACGTGTAAATGTTCTGTAAGTGCTCAATCACTTTTTTGTTGAAGTAGTCATGAACTCTTATCATTACGTTAATTGAATTCTTAGAATGATTCAATAGTCAGTATTTGAATAAGTGCGTACGTACCTATATTCTAAGTACTTATGTAGTACAGTATGAGTCAGACTTTTCCTCTAGATCGCTTGTCTTAACTCTTAGACAATCGTTCTTATCTCGAGTGGAAACAATATTGTGCAAGGCCTCTTCCTTATCTTCGGTAAACAACTTAAGTTGGAATGTCCTAGTGATATTTACCAATAACATTTTATCACACAATATAGTTTTATGGTTGTCTTAGATAGGTTAATGATTACGACGGAATTAGGTCGAAAAATCTGATATTTATGAAGAAGTTTGAGTTAGTATCGAAATGGTAATTCAAATTAATGTAGTGATGAAAATACAAAGTATTATCAAAACAATTGCTATTATACCATNCCCATCCCAACTAATATTATAAATGCGAAAGTAACTCTGTCTGTCTGTCTGTCAGTCTGTCTGTTACGCTTTCCCGCTTAAACCTCGCAACCGATTTTGATGAAATTTGGCATAGAGATAGTTTGAGTCCCGGGAAAGAACATAGGATAGTTTTTATCCCGGTTTTTGAAACAGGGACGCGCGCGATAAAGTTTTTCTGTGACAGACAAAATTCCACGCGGGCGAAGCCGCGGGCGGAAAGCTAGTTAAACCATAATTTAGAAATACTAAAATCTCATTTTTGAAAAATTAATTCATATACATATTTTCCATACCAGTATCGAAACTTGAAAAATAATATTTTAACATAACAAGTTCATTAAAAGGTAAAACGATAGAGTCAATTATTAACTAAATTGACAAATTCAATAATAATTGAAAATTTTAATTAAATAGGTATTTTTACTAGTCAATTTTTCCTGATACCTATTATGAAATGAAGCTCAAACTTGATCGAGATTCAATTTACTCTTGACGCTGAATTCAGTTACGAGCGTCATTTTAGAATACGTGCCTAATCTCCCTACGTCACTAAGCTGTAAAACACCGTGCTGAAAAACACACACAAACACAAACAAAAGAGGGTAGAGATGCTTACGTTTTGAAGCGGACTATCGAGTCGTGTGTAGGCAGATGTTCCTTGGCAGGAGGGCTGGTGCAGAGCGGAGGAGAATTGGACTCCTGCGGCATGAGCACCTTGGGTGAAGGTGGCAGAGGCGCCATCTTGGGAGTGCTCGGAACAGGAGTCTTGCTGGCCGGTGAAGAGGGCGCTATGATGACAGGAGGAGGCGTCTGAGGCGTCAGCAGTTCCTCTGAGGTACGCGCGGGGCTACCCAGACCCGATTCGCTGGTCAAAAAATGTTGTTTTAAACTCGTATGGTTTAAGTTTATCTTGGGACAGATTTGGTGTTTACTGATTGGGTTTTTGTTGACGGTCAAGCTGTAGATCTTGTATACAAAGCAATTGTAGCGGTGGTAACGAAAGTTAAGAATCGTCCCGTTCATTGGTATGGTTGGTCATCTAATTAGTGCGATGTTCTAATGAATATCTCTCAGAAACATCTTTGTGTGTACTCTTTAATTTTTTTATCAAACTAATAGTCTAATAGAAATATTTAATATGCATATCAAAAACAAAACATCTTTTGTTCCATCAAATAAAGAACAAAACAATTTAATTAAAATAAGGTACGCGTAAACGCAAGAGCTAAGAAAGCCAAAAGTTTTTTCTATTATCTTTTACTTTACATAACGTTCGTGTTATGAACGAGAACAACTTTTATTAAAGACAGCAGGTGAGCGATATTATCTACATTCGCCTGTCTCTTCCAATAAGCGAAATCTGCTCTGAAAAACGAAGCCTGTCCCAAAGAGTTAACAGATTTATGTAGAGTTTAAGGGACGGGGTTGGCAGTGTGATACAAATGTGCTTAGTTTGGTATTATAGTCGAGAATGTATTTGATTTATTGAGCCAAATACTTAATTTTGATTAGCTGGGTTAGCTGTGGTGATATTTCGAGGATAAGTTAAAGTAGGTATCAATCCGGTATTTACCCTTGAATTTGTGAAAAGCACAATATAAGAAATAGATTTTGTAATTACTTCACTAAAGTAATTTAACTATGGGATTATAAGTAGTAGCGGATGTACGCAACTTCTATATTCCTGTTTGTTTGAGTTACGATCCAAGTTATTGTTTAGACAGATACTTAGGACGCCCGGGATATATAATAATAATGTTCTAAGCATTATTATAAGAAGAAAGTATTTTTCGCAACTACGAGTATTAATTTCAATACATGGAACGACGAGGGGGAGCGGTCTAGTGAAATCTGATACCCACTGTCTGGCTCGTCGTCCTTGGAGATATATACCAAGAATTACACAAAATTGAATAAAGGAGAAGCTCGGATTAATTAACTACTCATCTCACAATCAAAAATCTGAAAAACTTATCATAGCGCAACTGAGATGATATTTTATAAAATTCTGAAAGCTAACGCTTCAGTTATAGCCTGTTGAGAGCCGACACCATGATTATCTGAGTCGTTTAATGAAGAACTTAAATGCTTTAACGGCGTGGGTGTTGCGTGGGAAAGATTAAGTGGTTCGCACTTATAAATTAATTAAACCCATTCGTTTGATCTAAAACTCTTTTAAAGAGTTTTCTTTAATTTAATTCTAAGAAAATTGTTTTGAGAGACTGATACTGAAAAAATTGAAAAATGTTGCCAAACCCGGATTCCATAGATAAAACGGCCAAAAAGGAAAATTATCTTCTTTAGTAGAATAGTTTATTTACAAATTAGCTGTTATTGACCCTAAATCTGACCGACTCACCTGGCATGAGATTCAGGTACATCAAGCGACACTCCTGCGCTGGGAGTGTCGACACTTTGCGAGATGTCGAGTGACACAGAGAGTCCAGTGGTGGTGTCAAGTGACACGGACGGCCCCGTCCGGTCCAGTGAAGCTGTAGCGGTGGTGTCCGGGTGCGCCGTGGACTCGGTGTCCGGAGTCAGTGGCGCCGCGTCCAGAATGTAGATGTTCTCGTGTCCAATATCCGTTGGGTAGTGCAGGTTTTCTTGCGCCTTGTCGATGCGGAAAAACCGCTCTGCTGTTACGGCTGTTGAATGATTAAAATGTTATTAATTTGTAGTTTGGGACCTGAACCACAGAATAATAATAAGTACTACGTACAGACAGAAGTTTTACTTCGCGAAGGTATTTAAAAAATGTATGCTCAATGTCATTAACAATATGGTGTAATTTAGCTTGTCTCAAGAGTCAAGCAAGTTTGTCAGAAGTTTTGTTGACAAACGTCAGTGATCGGTACTGCGCCGAAGCTATAGAGCTGACTTCGGTAAAATGATGTGACGTGAGGTGCCAATCTGCAGAAAATGGCGGAGGAAATACATGATTTAGCATGAATTATCATGAATAATATTAACTACTTATTTACCTCTCAGTATCTTGAGGCAACTTAAAAAAGTACATTCTGTGTTTTTATTATTATTTAGGCAGTTAAATACTGCACAGTATTTAGTACACCATTTTCTTTATTTTTTTCCATCATACACAAGAATACACGTGCGTGAGTCAATGTTCGCTCGTATGTGAGGCCTTGTCGAATAGTACTCTTGTAGGGGGCAATCGTGCGTGTTTTGTTTTCGATGTAAACTCGCGGAGATGAACAGGCCTGCCTGAACTTTCAACACAGTGGACTTTTCTGTTTCTTTGAAAATTATTTACTTTCGCTTCATGGGTTTTTTATCTATATATATAAAAGAAAGTCGTGTTAGTTACTTCGCTTATAACTCAAGAACGGCTGAACCGATTTAGCTGAAAATTGTCAGGGAGGTAGTTTAGAGCCAGGAGAAGGACATAGGATACTTTTTATCCCGTTCGAAATTAAAAAAAAGTCTGCTTATTTATTGCCATTAAGGCGGAACAAAGTTCGCCGGGTCAGCTAGTTGGCAATAAAGTTGTTGGTAGATGTGGCTAACATATTGCAGCCGTGTTCGGTTTCTAGGTGCAGGACATAATAGGCCTGTATTAACTGAAATTCTTTCAATAGGACTTCTAATCGAGCTTTGAGCTACGTTTCTGAAATAGAATACCAAAGGAATTTGGACTGTTTTATTGTTTGAATAGAATATTGCGGATTTGAATTAAGCTAATTGATTCGTGCTTCGCAAATCCGACAACATGTTGAGTCAAATGCTTGGTGTTCATGAGCCAGTCGTTCGAAGTAAAACTTGTGTCCGCCACTGTGCATTTACACTAGTCATTCTGACTAGAAAGCTACACAAATAAGACAGAAGAGCAGCGTAATTATTTATTAATCAAATTCTACTTCATCTCCGGTAAAGAAAACAACAGTCCTGAATAAAATATTCGCGGTGCTCTAATGCTCGCGGTTAGGAATCAAATGGTTGATTCCTCGACGCGTTCATTAAACTTTAAGCCCCTTGAGGCCGAAGAGAATGGAACGCCACTTAGGCATCCACGAGAGACATCTTACAGATCTATAATGTACATAATATGTTGGATTGAATCCCTGCCAATTCGAGTACCCAGAGATAGGTTGTTCGATTTTCTTAGTGCTTCGTTTTTGACTTTTAAGAACCACGAGGTAGTGTGTGAAGCGATATTGTGTAGTCACGAGCAAATAAAAGTTCATATTTTCGCTGTTGATGATACTTTGGTATAGTTTATCACGATAAGAAAATATTATCTCCTTATCTGAATGTAATTACAGTACATAGGTGTCCCTATTTTTCCATCGATTTACATCAAGGAAACAACTCTTATCAACTTTGTTGTATTGTTTTGATATGATTCGATTACTCATAGACACTATGAGACACCAAGTTAATTTTGGGTCAACGTCATTTTATTGGTACAAACGTAATGTCCATTTCCATCCGTCGTTATTCATAAGCTTCAAGTAAAATTTTAAGTGTAAAGTAAAATGTTGGCTTCCTGGCTCTTGGAGCGTGCCTTACATTGGCGTATGGTGCCTGCCTAATGAAGGTAAATACGAGTTAGACCCAAAGCAAGTGCTTCGCGTGAACATTCCCCTCCACTTTGCGTACCGGGGCGAGAGACGGTGGACTTGAGAGTTGGCGGCGCTGATTTGTTAATAAATAATTAATTTGAGCACCGGAAACTCATTAGATGTCAATGTGGGAATGGATTTATTTTAATATTGGCCGAGATAAAATATAAGCTTACAAATTTTAGGAATTAAAAAAAACCTAGATTCTTACTTACCTGTAAATCAATTATAAAGAAAATGTCTTTTCCCGAAGACTATAATCCGGGCCTTTTCAGGGCAGATATGCATCCTATCTATCCATCCATCCTAGACTGCATCCCACTTAACATCAGTGGTCAAATAACTGCCTTGTTATGCATAAAAATAAAAATAAATGAGCTACTGTTGAAAAACCTAAAGTAATCAACGTACAAAAGCCCACTGTTCTCATACAACATCGTTCCACCTAACCTCCCGGCTTTCTCGCTGCGACATGTAGGTAAGTAGCTGCTCCGCTGGCTAATGAAGGTAAACACCTGCGAGTTAAGGTTGAAAGCGAGTGGTACACTTACAGTCGACGAACCACCAGTCGACGAGGTTCGAGTACGCTTGAGACTCTTTGATCATGTTCTGTATGAGGCCACGCATTTGCTCCAGGTCGGCCGCCGGGTTCACCTCCAAAGTGCCGACGCGCTCCGCTGGCGATCGAAAATCAAATTAGACTTCAATCAAAGACATTACCTACTTAAGTCGCCACTTCGATTGTAAAGGCATTGGTTTCATGTGTGCTATATTTAGGGACGAAATCAATAGAGCAGCTGACAATTGCTCCACAATAGGTACGTTAAAAATAAAAGCTCGTAACCACAATATTTGTTTTGTTAAAGTAAATCCTATACAGCTTTAATATTAATGCACTCATTTAATCATAGTGGGTATTCAATGTGTATTGTGTATCTAAATAAAATAAGCACAATCCTTAAAAACAAAAATATGTCCACACAATATTTCATAAGTAAATCCTACGGTAGAGCTCTAATAATGAGGCAATAATTTCATCGCAGGTGTTAAATGTTTATCACAATAAAAGCTCATTCATATTCATAATTCGCCTCTGAAAATGAAGCATCGAAATATCCCTGAAGAAATTTTTGGGACCAGAAAAATTAAATAACACATACAAAAAATTTCGATTTACTTAGGTATTCCCAAAGCTTTGTAAAAGTTACCTGTTTCAGTACTAAGATTAAGAAAGCCTTATGACTTCAGGTCTTACAAAAAAGTCTGTGATAAGGCTATTAAGTATCAAATTTTAATAAACGAGGATAAAAGTTACGATTTTAATGTACCTACTTAATATAAAAAATTTCATCAGTAAAACCAGTACCAAGCTCCTACCTCTACCCGATAACCAAATAAAAAACTCAAAATCGATTCATTGAAATTAGGTTGTGGAAGTTACGAATGGAAAGTAGGCTAAAACAGTCAATTAAAATCGCGACGGGAAACTCGATGCAGCGAAATTGCTTCCGAAAATCGATTCGAATACAGCTACAGCTATTCGTTACTAAAGTTTGTAAGTGTGATTGAAGGTCCTGATTTAGATAGGATTTCCATAGCGGTAGAGTAATACTTGTTCTAAACAACGCCTTTTGATGTATAAAGACATCTATTGAGACATGTGGATGCCATTAATCAATATAATCGACTTTTTAGTTTTATATAAATGAAAAAAGTCTTCTTTGAAAATAGGTACCTATCATTGTAAATTGATGTCATCCCTAGATGATCAAAAGTACCCAGATAAACACAAAACACCACGAAAATGGAACGAAAGCACAGTGTACAATTACACCGATGGCGTCGCGCCAGCAAATATAAAATAACCAAATGATTTTATTAGGGATGTTTCCGCACGGTTACAATGCAAACCACACGGCTACTTGTTGTTTGGAAAAGCTACTATTTGAATTAAATTCGTGAATGTATTTGATTTTCATGTAAGGCATTGCTAATTTCTATGATCATACATTCAAATCAAGTACGCCCATTTTATGTTTCTTGACGACTTTTAATGCAAATTCAATTTCATGAAAAAAGCTGATAATTTAGAGGAAACCGCGGATAATATCATCGCTTACAAAATAATCTAAAATAATTCTGGTGGTAAGTAGTGTGTAGGTATAGTTATGTTACACAGATATTAATGCAAAGTTACCTAATAATAATATAATAATTAGAATCACCAAGTTACCTGTCTTCGCGAGGAGCTCCTTATCATAGTGATGTCTTTCGTAATCCACCATGGTTATGAGATTCACAGTGAGTGACAGTTTGTCCACTGTCGTTTGACTGTAACAATGAAATACAGTTTAAAACAGTATCTATTTATATATGTATGTATATTGTTCTTATTTATATTACGCTTTAGTCTTTACGAAAAAAAAAATATATTTATAAATCTAAAATATCAATCCCAACTTCCCAACTAATATTTACAAGCTTTTTTTATAAATGCGAAAGTAACTCTGTCTGTCTGTCTGTCTGTCTGTCTGTCTGTTACGCTTTCCCGCTTAAACCTCGCAACCGATTTTGATGAAATTTGGCATAGAGATAGTTTGAGTCCCGGGAAAGAACATAGGATAGTTTTTATCCCGGTTTTTGAAACAGGGACGCGCGCGATAAAGTTTTTCTGTGACAGACAAAATTCCACGCGGGCGAAGCCGCGGGCGGAAAGCTAGTTACATATAAAATTGTTGCTATAATGTAATATTACTGAGATAATAAAGATGTTCATAGTTTTACGAGGAATTTATGAAAGATATTATATCAGAACGCCTAACATTGTTTTGAGAGCAAAAGGTTTTTAGTCTGAAAAACGTTTTCACTGAAAATTATTTTGGTAAGTTACCTTATAAAAATTAAAACGTATAAGTATATAATACATAAATTGTACGTCTTTTCGTTAATGTTGACATTATTCCTCATTATGGGTATCTACACTCGTGAGCAAAAGTATGGATTCACTTACATGAAGTTGTTTCCACGCGATCTTGTGTACTAACGAATTTGTTAGTAACAAAAAAAGTGGCACCATTTTAAAGATTAAACTTTTAACTTTAAATTGATATCGTATCAAACAGTTGATATTGATACATGTCTTTTTCTTCACTTCTTCACATCAGGCGGGATGTCTTTTTAAATACTGGTGTGATTTAAATGAATTTGGTATCAACTTTAAGTTAAAAGTTTGATCTTTAAAATGGTGCCACTTTTTTGTTACTAACAAATTCGTTAGTACCTACACAAGATCGCGTGGAAACAACTTCATGTAAGTGATTCCATACTTTTGCTCGCGAGTGTATTTTAATTAGAAGGCAGTCTTTCATGATATTAAACATTATTATTTTAAGCTCGTTAAATCTAATAATACTTAGCTGTAGATTAAGTACCTACTTAAAAGCACCATCGTTTGGGATTTAGATTAATGCATTACACACAGAAAACTAGAGCAGGGAGGGTGGTTCGGATATTCAGCGGGTACACAATATGCTTTTATTGGTATCAACACACAGCTAAGACGATGTGGAATGCGGGACGAGACCGCTTCGAGTGTGGATTACAAGTGCATATTTAATCCTTAGTAAAATATAATGATTTATGTTAATTGATCAGAAAATAATCGAATCATATTCATGGAGATGAAACAACATACAATTTAATTATAGGATAAAAAATTGAAACGTTCCTATCAATCTTTCTATGAGTCCAGAAGTGCGAATAAATGGATCTATTGTTAGTTATGCGACCCATTTTAAGCTGCTGTGTTAGCACAACAAGCTGTCAAAGCAAAGTACAGTCCGCTATCCTGCCCTCTTCACCCCATTCACGTGTCAAATATCAAACGTCACTACGTCCTTTGTTTTGGTGTGGATCCAGATATTTCAGTTCGTCTAACGTAGCGTAGCTTAAAAGCTTTTTTTAACCTGAACGTGCTTCACTCGTGGTGTGCTGATAACTTCTAATGGCTTTGGTGAGTAAATTTCACATTTTGGTCTAAGGAGCTTACATGAGATCTAACGCCAAAAATGTATTATATTTTCTTCGACAAAAGTGACACGTCGAAGCTTTTTTAAAATTTTTCAGCACTTCTAGCAATAAAATATAGAGTTAAGTGTTTTCTTTTGTTTTCATTATTGACCGCTATCTATTCATGGTATAAAAGTTAAATGGTGACGCTATTTAGCTTTTGTCCATTTTGATTGGCGCCCTTGGTTTATTGAAGGTAAAGTCAAAGGATGGCAAGCAAAGAGGTAACAGACCTCTTAATATCAAATGAAATAAAATTCCAGGGCACTTAAACGCGTCTCAAATATAGCTTGCCCGACCACCACTTTGGGACAACATATGGGCTGGTGTTGAGAAGAACTGGCGGAAGAAAATCAGTTAGTATTTGAAGCTAAACTTACGGTGCAATAACCCGTCCAGGCTTCTTCTTGGCCAGCATTGTGGCCTGGTTGAGCCTGGACAGCGTGATGATGGAAGGCGCAAGCCGGCACGCCTCCCCGTCCACCTGCATCGGTATCACCTTCGTGGTGACGATCTTCGCAGTCTTGCATTGCGTGATGCAGGTGCCGTGGCCGCCCGCTTGCAATAAAGGCTACAAGAAATTTATACATAAATGAAATGAAATTAAGGTTCATTGAGCTTTATTCTAGACAATCTAACTGGGGTAACTAAGTAGTTGACACCATTATCCAAATTTCAAGACACAAATTCTCTAAGAAACTCTCAATTCTAGTCCTGGAAATCTAATTAGTTTCCAAATTCACTGTAAAATAAGATTTTAGTCAACTGAGTTGTGGAAACAGGGCCGGCATAACTTATCTTTGCTAAAATGAATAGAAATATCAAGTTTTGATAGCTCATTAAAAGTATGTCATAATAATAGTGGTTTGGTGGTGTCTTCTATTGTATTTATTGAGATTTTTGAATAAGTTCCTCTAACAGTCTGCTGAAATGAACTCTCTCATCCTAAAGCTAAACACATATTATTGTTACAATATTATTATACTTATTAGAGGAAAACAATCGCATTTTTATTTCTTTCATACACCAAAGATAAAATTAGAAATAATATTACTACACGATTCCTGCAGAATTTCGTAAAACATTACAAGCACAGTACGTAACACATTCCCGGAGAGTTATCCTCGTGTTACAGTTCGTTTGATAATCGGAAGCCAACCCCTGCAGCGAGATTTATATTCCTGAGTTATAAATGGCATCCACAAAGCTACTAAGGTTTTTGGCTTGACATTATAGTACTATACTACGTTAATATAAACGAATAGTACGTTTAACAAACACTTTTATATCTTCTCGACGACATTATGTTACCTAATGAAAGCGTGAAAAATTGCGATGTTCTTTTTACGAGCGTAATAACATGGTGTTATAAACAACTCTCTCATCCTAAAGCCCTTAAGGTTATGGGTGCGTCACGTGAACATCATAAATCTACCAGATAAAATTTGTCGCACAGAATGCTAAAAGTTATCCGCACGACTTTTCCATCTGGTACAGCGTTGTTTTAATAGTGCAGTGTCACAAAAACAATACGCGTAAATAACAAAGTTTCAATGATTTATCGACATGCTGCACTATCTAGAAGCCCGTAAATTTCAATGAAGACAAATAGGTAAAACGTTTCGTATTATGATACCGACGTGTAGGATGGTTATTTACTACCTTCCTACCTAGTCGAGACATTAATATTTTATTGCAATTTAAGTTTACGAGCGTAAAGTCTCAAAGGGGACGGTGGAAGATATCTCGAGAGGTAGGTTACACTCGTTTCTCTTTGACAAAAATATAAGTGCTGACGAATAAATAATCCTAAAAGGAACACCTCAAAATGTAGATTCGACGCTGGCTGTTGGTCTTAATGCTTCGAGAGGCTCGCTTGAAAAGATCCAGTACTCACCAATTGATATGTCGTTAATCCTACTACTTCTATAAGGCCGTCTTCAGTCGAGGGCTCGACTGCCCCTCCGGATTTGTTCCAAGGGTGGGTGCCACCCCCGTAGCTGTAAACAGGGGTGACTATTAGCGTTTTATGTTGAGCCTTATTCATACATTTCAAAAGACCGTTTATGACACCTGGTAAACTGCTTTTGAAGATTGTATTGTAAGCGACTGGATTCAATGGAACTGAAAAGCGAGTTAATCAGAGGTTTTACAAACAAATTTTCCACGAGACCCGTCTAGCGTGTGTCAATTCTGCCATTTGTTAAGTTCTCGCTAACTTGCAGTAGACTTAGGGCGGGTGAAATGATTATTTAATCACTCAACGAATACTACTTGTACTAACTTTAAACTTCGTTAAGGTACAGAAAGTTCCAATTCCAACTGGCTTAATTTATTAAATAGGTAACAGTGATATAAAGCGTTAAAATTACCGTTACCAAGCAATGTAAAAAATGTCAGTGTAATATATGTTTTCAAAAACAACGATCGTGTAGTGCTTAGTCAATACTTGCCTTGGAATGTTTAAAAAAACAATGGCGTGCACTTTGTGTTCCCTGAGCACAGGCGTGAGGTCCTTCCCATCGCACTCCATGGTGACGAACTCCGCCAAGCCCTTCCACTTCCGCTGCATCAGGTCTTTGCCGCCAGCAGTCCCGTAGAACAGCTTGTTCCTGATACGCGAGTTGAACTTCTCCGGATGCGCCTCTGGGACAAATACATCATAGTTTCATCGAAGAGGAACAATAGTTTGCTGATTGGAGCACTTGTATTTTTATGCTAAGGAGCAAACGAACTGTTGCACGTATTTTCTTTAATGTAGGTACTACCTGTGAAACTGCAAATGAGCACAATTTTAATCTTTCGTTCGTTTCGTTTTAGCCAAATGACACGACGTCCACTGCTGAACAAAGGTCTTCCCCAGGATTTCCACAACGACCGGTCCATCGCTGCCCTTTAATCTTATATGCTATAAAATTTTAGCTATGCAGGATCTGAGTTCACTTTTCCTAGATAAAGTTTAGTGTCCCTGTGCCCAGTAGCATTAGTGTTTTGGAACTTGATATTCTCGTAGAGGGAATTTAACTCAGATTTTATATAATTTGTCCAGCAGTGGACGTCTTTCGGCTGAAACGAACGAACGAACGAATATAAGTATAGTAGGTGGATATAAATAATCTGTATTTCATTAGCTTGATAGTCATTAAGGATATAATTTATTTTACAATATTTTTGCAAGCGAAATGACTGGTTAATTCGGGCACCATGTTTTCTCTGACCCTTTTAGCTACTCAAACCCGTCGAACAAAAATAAAACAGATATGAAAGAGAGTTGATAAGGGTATTAAATTTTTCCAGTTAATATTACATCGGTAAGTTTTGAAAGCTGTAAATAACAGCGATCAAGTCAGAAAGTTTAATCTTTTGATTTATGTTTCTTAATGAGATGTCTTTTTAGATAAGTATTGTAATTGTCAAAGTTTTATAGAAAATTTTCCTGTGTTTGTCTATTGTACACAAAGTATAACGAATGGTACCTACATAATACGCGTACAATAGTAAAAGAAGTTCAGAGAGATAGAAATAATTATCTTGTCTCTACGATCATGATAGATTGGACGCGGTTTTCGTTTTTCATTTCGCGAGTCCGTGAATAAGCCCAAAAGCCAGGCCATTCACACAGCAGCTTTGAAAGAAAGCTTTCACCGATCCAACTTCTTTTAGATTGCTACTTCGTGTAATTCTAGAGTACGTGGTAGCTAGCTACCCATTTCGTATTAGGTCGTGGGATATACTTAAGACACAAAACACGAAGATTGTAAATAAACTATGGTCTAAATAATAATGTACGTGTTCTAAAAGCTGAGTCCGGGGAAAAAATGAAATTACATCAAGCAAGTTTGGCTTAAATTAAGACATTACGTGGTAAGTATGTTACAATAAACTGTTCGCTTTCAATAAACGCCTTTGTTCTCCTCATATTATTTTATGTTGTAGGCAGTTAGCGCGTACATACGAGCATATTACCGCGTCTACGTTCCCTTACACTAGCTTTCAAGGCGCGCGTCTACTCACGTGAGACTTACAAAATCGAGTTTATAGTATAGGTACTCACCGTGAAACACTAAAAGAGCTTTTATAAATAAATATAAANAGCAAACGATTACCTATTTACTTTAATGTAGGTATACTACCTGTGAAAATGCAAATAAGAGCAATTTTAATCTTTCGTTCGTTTCGTTATATTGGAAATTTAACTCAGATATAAGTATTGCAGGTGGATATAAATAATAATCTGTATTTAATTAGCATGATGGTCATTAAGGATATAATTTATTTTACAATATTTTTGCAAGCGAAATGACTGGTTGATTCGGGCACCATGTTTTCTCTGACCCTTTTAGCTACTCAACCCCGTCGAACAAAAATAAAACAGATATGAAAGAGAGTTGATAAGGGTATTAAATTTTTCCAGTTAATATTACATCGGTAAGTTTTGAAAGCTGTAAATAACAGCGATCTAGTCAGAAAGTTTAATCTTTTTGATTTATGTTTCTTAATGAGATGTCTTTTTAGATTTAAGTATTGTAATTGTCAAAGTTTTATAGAAAATTTTTCTGTGTTTGTATATTGTACACAAAGTATAACGAATGGTACCTACATAGTACGAGTACAATAGTAAAAGAAGTTCAGAGAGATAGAAAGAATTATCTTGTCTCTACGATCATGATAGATTGGACGCGGTTTTCGTTTTTCATTTCGCGAGTCCGTGAATAAGCCCAAAAGCCAGGCCATTCACACAGCAGCTTTGAAAGAAAGCTTTCACCGATCCAACTTCTTTTAGATTGCTACTTCGTGTAATTCTAGAGTACGTGGTAACTAGCTACCCATTTCGTATTAGGTCGTGGGTTAAGTATATAAGACACATAATATAAGACACGCAAAGATTGTAAATAAACTATGGTCTAACTAAATAATAATGTATGTGTTCTAAAAGCTCAAACAAAACAATACAATTTTTCAGAGAAAAGTTGGATAAACCAAAATGAATTTCAGGAGTTCTAAATAAAACAATTCATAGGTAAACGTTGCCACGTAGCTATATCAATTTACTAACTCATTTTATTTCTATGTACTTGTCATCACTATGGCGTTCATATAAGCTCAGATGCAGACCAAAATATCAAGAAAAATTAAAATTACATCAAGTAAATACTTCTATCGATAGAAGATTAGTATGTTATGATGCGACTCTTTTAGATAAGCTAGTTTGGCGTAAATTAAGACATTACGTAGTATGTTACAATAAACTGTTCGTTTTCAATAAACGCGTTGTTCTCCTCATAATATTTTATGTTGTAGGCAGTTCGCGCGTACATACGAGCATATTACCGCGTCTACGTTCCCGTACACTAGCTTTCAAGGCGCGCGTCTACTCACGTGTAGACTTACAAAAACGAGTTTATAGTATAGGTAGGTACTCACCGTGAAACACTAAAAGAGCTTTTATAAATAAATAAAAATGCTAGTGAAATACCTCTCGCCTCGTGGAATTCGAGTGCTATGTGTGCATCTACTCCGAATGAGAAGTAGTTGTTGACGACGTTTAGCGGTAGCTCGGGCTTCGCATTCTTGGCTTCCTCGCCAGCTGCCGCGGTGTTGGGCTCCACGGTCAGCTGCCACCGGTCCAGAAGGACTGTGTCGCTCTCGCCGATGTTCGCCAGGATCTTCGATATAGGCTCGTCTTCGTAGCCCTGGCAAAGATACATTAGGTTCAAATAAAAATCAAGTGGCCCAATTTTATAGACGAAGTAAGAAGTTAAAGCACTTTCAACAAGTATGTAGCATGAAAACAAGACGGGAATATGGATCCGCGACGGAACATAGAGCTTAACTTATTAGTAATCTAACTTTGCTTATTTAAAGTTTTCGTGTAGATGTAATATTAATTAACTTTTGTTCTAACTAATTAGGTACTATTCTTAGCTAAACAGTTTCAAATGAATAATGTCAAGTCCAATAAGAAACAAAGAAGGCGTGAAACCTTTTTCTTGTAAGTAATCCAAGTTATAAATTTTGCGTAGTCGAATAAAGTTGAATGTTTTTAAAACTTATGAACCTTCTTCAAAATGCAAAAAACAAGAAATATTATTTTTTGGATATCTAAATAATGTTCACTTCTTGTAAAAAATAAATAGTTAGGTACAGTTAATTACCAGTTGATATTTGTATTATCAAAATCAGAAAGGACTCCAAGTTTGAACCATTAATCAAATAAATGTTGTATGTAAAACAGAAGTTTGGTCATTATTTTCTATTGTTCAAATAAAAGCACTGACCTTGATAAAAACTGATACAACAAAACAAAGCACATTAAGCATTTATTAGTTTCAAATATTAAAAGCCGATTAAATAGATAAACATGATTCACATGTTACAAAACTTTTACTTACAACGTATTAAAATAACATTTCTCAGTATCGTAAAGCAAACTTACATGAACTTTTAGTTCACAGTATGGCGAGTTAGACGGGGATTTTCACCTCCATTTAACTTTTATTGCTCGTTCTATAAATTCCGATACATCTGTTCCGATTGTGAAAACTCTTAGTTCTTTATAACAATGGAAATACAAAGAGCTTTTTTACGTGCATACTTTTTCTTCTGTATAAATTAACATTTAAAAGGGCTTTAAAAATTTAACTAAACAATAAGAAAGTTCGTTAAACAATATTCAATGGAATACTAGTAATTATTCTGTACCGATGGTAGAGCAAGGTTTTAATTAATTTAGTAATTTTGGCTATACTCTCGTTCGTTTACTCTACTTTAGGAAAAATATGTAAATAAACTACTTAATAAGTCAGTCAAGTAAGGATTTTTGTTTATAAAATCGCTAAATAGTGTAGAATAACAGGAATAATAAATTATTCAAGCATCAAGTGCTCTACTAGATTATCTCTCACATTACAAACTCCCAATAAATCTCCAAGGCGAATCAGTTGAAGCTATTATTCATAATGTCAGTGGCAGCTACTACAAAATGTATTTCAAAATATTGTTTCTTTTTAATTTAAATAAGAAACTACGGATCGAATTCGCTAAGTTAGTTTCAGAGATTTAACGGAATAGAATAATGCTACTCGGAAAAAACTTTGCAGGAGTTTGATTACAATATAATATTAATTTAATGCAAAAATATGTATGTAAGTACGTCTTTTTTAAAGCATAGCATGTGTAGCATTCCTGATATAAGCCGATTATAAGCTATAGAAATAACGGCATGTATTAATGAGTATTTTAACAAAATGATTTTGCTTGTTGCTTTTATAAGTTTATAATAATTTATGTATCAAAAATATGGTTTTCGTGTTTAAAACGACTAATCCTTGCATGTACGGGCTTATAAAATAAAAAAATATTTCATGAATAATAACGATAGCCTTTTAAATTGTGTGCACTATTTCTGCGAACTTATCAAATTATTTGCATTGCGGTTGTATTATTATATTATGGGCAGGATATTGGAATCGGTTAAGTGCCTAGTCGGGTAGCGACACAAATCAACTGTATTACAAAGGGGAAAGAACACGGGCGATCCTAAAAGGGGCTAATGTATCTATCGTTGCTGTTAACGTTCGCGCTGTCTACTGAACGTTTGTTTTATTTCACTTTGGCCACTTTGGATATTTTCTATTCTGTCTGATGTTGGATAGTTCAATTTAATTTATTTATATATCGGTTACATTGATCAGTAATATAAAAGGTACTTGACACTACTATTAAATATGATTGTATAAATTTCTACTTTATTTCAATTTCTAAATATTTTACATTAATTATTATGATTTAAAATGAATCTAAATTAATTACGTGTCTTTGTTCAGTCTTGCCGTGGAAAATAACTCGATGATTTCAAAACAATAGACGGTGGCAGCCTCCGGGCTCGCGAAGGTATATACCTACCAGAAAATTTCCGGAGCATTAGCGAAGCTTTACAATGACAGTAAATTACTCCCATCCGGACTTGTTTGTCATTTTGGAGAATAATAAAATGTTGATGAACGAAGTAAGCGATAAACAGTGTTTACGAGCTCGTTAAAACACATTGTCGTTCGTCAAACGACAGGTAATCATGGCGCTTTGCATATTCATCGAATGCCATCTTCCAACTTCATACTGAGCGCAAGCATTCGAGGCAGGTATGAATATTTGATATGAATCGCGACGAGAACGTCCATGTTGTCGTGTTTGGGTTCCGTACTCTCAGGGTGCCAAAGGAAACCTAGTACTAAGCCTCCACTGGACGTACAGCCCGTCCGTCTGTCTTACGAACTGGTACACTCGTAAAAAACTAGACAGCTGAAAATTTCACAGAATGTGTGTTTACGTAACCCTTAAAAGCGGGTAAAGCAAGTTCAATATTTTCTTGTATTTGGACCTTAAGAAAAGGGAATAATGTTAATAATATGGTGAAGACTACAATATTCGTTTAAGTTGCGCAATCGATAATTCGATTTTAATAATTGCAAAAAACGGAACACCCTTAATGTGCGAGTCCAACACGCACTCTTGGTCAGTTTTTTAATGTTTTATTCGGAAAGTCCCGTCGGTATAATTATCAACGCAGGGAACGATGGTGTTTATTCGAGGCCATGAATTGCTTATGATGACATTCAAGCCGGAGCGGCGGCCGGCTGAAATCAATTTTTGATTGCGGCTAGCCATGACTACATAATCTGCCCAAATAATTACAAAGCTACGAGCATCTATTCATTAATTAATTAGATACCAGCAAGCAGTTAGCGGCAGCTGAAAACATTATTTGGTTGTTTGTTATAAGCTTACAAAAAACGACCGCTGTTTCCATAAACCAGAACTCGTTTTTAATCAGTTGGTTTAATTAATTTCCAAACTTTGATTACCATAAGGCTAACTCCGTGTATTTTTTTTATAAATAACATAATGAGATGGGGCATCTCATTATTCAATTTGAGGAGAGTTGGCTTTTCATAATTAATGGTGTGGATTATTTTAATAAAGCAATTCGACGTTCTAGGACGGTTTTGGGATAGTCTTCGTTAATGAATATGCATTAAAATGTTGAATACTGATGATCGCTGTATAAAATAACAATTAAATTAAATCTGGGAAATTGAATCACCACACCTTAAAATTACCTAGAATTAACAAACATCCATTAATTTATATCTAGGATTTCATTCAAATAAAAGCGAACTTCCTGAAGTGAGCTAAACAGTTACATAGGTACGAAACGAATAAATTGCTACGGTGAGCCAGATGCTCTCTTGTAAACTTACTCTGCCCTATTCAAGTGCAGCTCTTGCGAGCTCGTTCGTGCCAAGCGGTAGTACGCTGACCGCAAGCTCCGTATATGGTGGAGCTGTTTCCAGATAGTAGCGCCGTTAGAGTAGCAATCAAATATACTCGATGATTTACTGCTCTAAATTTAAGTGCACTAGCGAGGTTGTTCCAGATGACAAGTGGCAGCAACGATTGCAGGACGTAACAAACATGCTATCGAGCAAACTTAGGTGTCCAGTAAACACATACACCTTCGTTAAAATGAAAATATGACGCAACCGCAGACCTGGTGCCGATGGTTATGCAGTCAGCATACTGAACACCTATCCAGCAAATAGCTGATAGTGTCGCTATTATAGTAGGAATCAGTTAGTTAACTTTTGACTCACCCCTCCCCATCCGAGCGCTCTGGCGAGATCGTTCCCGGTTCCAAGCGGCAGCACGCCGACCGCAGGCCGCGTGCCGATGCGGTCTAGTACGCTGAGCACCCAACCAACTGTCCCGTCGCCACCGCACGCCAGCACTCGCAAGTTTGGCACTTTGCGGAACAATTCTAACCTGCAATTTGGAAATCAGACGGTTAGTAATTTACTTGATGAGCGCCTGATCTGAGTGATTAGCACTGGACTGGACCAGAGCAATAGGGAAGACGTAGAGGATACTCTAGACGTCTACACAATTCACATACTTTTTACGCGCTATCAAAACACGACTCTTCCATAGATTTATTATAGCAAAGGCTACTTATGACTTCATATGCTCGCGAACTCAATCTTCAAATAATTTTTGGATTTCAAAGCTATCACAAATAAAATTTTACAGCCACGTTGAAAACTAGCTCAGCTTTCAGACTCAGAGCCAGTTTAGTTTTTAAGAGGTTGCGAATTATTGGTTATTGGGGTCAACTACCCAATTGCAGAATCGAATCTCGCAACGGGGAAATAAAATATTCCGCGATGAGTACGAACATTGTAACCAAGTCATGAATGTTAATACTTAATGTATTTTAGAGCGCACTCAGCCACTCACATTTGGCGGCGAGCGAACTCGCATGGGGACCATAAAACAGTTTGCAATGTTTGAGATTAATATTCGTATCATGCTTGTATAAAAGTGATGATTTGTTGGGATATGTATTTTCATCTTGCTTGAGGTTGATCTTATAAAGTGAATTATAGTCATAAATGTCCTTACATTGTTTTTCCTCCGGGGATAGCAGAATTTTGATAATTCTATTATTGCTAACATAATAATATACGCTTCTCAATTCAGTGGGTAAAAATATCGGGACTGTATTTCAAACGAACATCGTGTATAAGATTTCTATTTTAGTTGAACATCGTGTATCCTCCATAATGAGTTGATTTAGGTAGCTTATGACCAAGCCTGGCCATTAAGAGCTTTTCAGCACGGATAGTAAATAATAAGAAACAACAGTTTCGTTATCAACGAAGTAATAAGACAAATATTGCATCCCGTAACTAACATTTAATCTTTTAAATTAGACCGTTAATTTAAAACGACAAGTTAATCGTTAACTTCAATTGATGGTTGACGAAGAGCGGAACAAATTCTGTTCGAATAAGGCAACTTGACGAATGGGGGACGAGCATTGAGACTTGAGGACGCCAACTACATCGCAATTCGTATTAGGGTGGCAATCTCTCTGAAGTGTTAAAGTGTGAGCACAAAGCGGCGTGATTGGGACGGCCGTTGGAAAGGTTTTGCTAGCCTTTAGATTTTAATCAGCTTTCCCATGGCCTTTGTAACCAGCTAAATGAAATTAAAAGGACGCCTGATCGATTGATTGCAATTGGATGTACAGGGTGGCATGAAAATGTTGCAATGCTAACCACGTTTTATATGTTGCCTTTGGTATTTAACGAAAAAATATCTACTCAGACAATTAAGATAATTGTATACAGCTAATTGTATACCTACAGCTAATTGTATACCTAATATATTTCTAAATTATGTCTAGTTCAAATTCCTTACCAATAAAAAAGCTATTCATGTATACCTTTGGGTACATAATGCTGGTAATAGTTACTGCCTACGTCACGATTCCATTCATGAATCAAACAAATGGACATGACATTGACTTTGTCGGCATGAGCCATGAATAGAAAATTACTCTCTTGCTAACGCGGACCTACAGATAATTGAGTAAACGTTTGCCGACGCTCGAATCATGAATCAGATAGGTCAACAGAATAATAAGATTAAAACTGCCCGATCGAGTAGGAATCTGTACTGTAATTATACTGTTTGTTATAGCCTATTTTTACCAAAAACTCAGCTATACTTATTGAGTTTCAAATTTAGCACTGGCATAAACTCATTCAAAACTTTGCCATAATTACAATTCACCGACCTATTGGAGCCATTATACTGAATACACAGAAGTTCCCAGAACTCATTCATTACGCATTCAATATCACTCTAATAAATTTGTAATCGGTAAATTGGTGTGTGTATTTGGACGGTTGTGATTCCTGATGGTAGATCCCTTGTTTCGTATCTATCCTTGTAAGTCTTGGATTTAAAATAGTAGGTACTTTAATTTAACAATTACTTAGAACTAAACAAGTTTTTTCTTGTAATAGACATACACATAAATTTTATTATGCGCGTTAAATATTTACGAAAAACGAAGTCAGAGTAGCTAAATTGGCAAGTCTAACTGAAACTTCTGACATTTGAAAAAATAAAAGACATTTTTTCTCTCAGTGATGTTAAATTCTGATATTTTACTTTTCCTAAGTGGGTTCATACCTACCTGAATACATATTTTTGAAGCAAACGAATTTAAATTCTTAATGCGAATTCGTACGAATTGGAATAAGAATTTCAAGCTTCTGTATTATACGACTCCTACACTTATTTATCACAAGAAAACAAAGTTCTTCTGGGACATGCGATAGTCTTTCGTCGAGAGATATAATTCTACGCGGGCCGAATACTAAATACCAAATGATTTACTATGCATATTTTTACCATCTTATTTTTTCACTAGAGAGCAACCCTAACAGCGTAAGAAGAGTTCAGAGGCACGCGATAGAAAGAGACAAAACTTGTAGGTGAATAAAATTGTAGGTACGTAGTGCTGTGCGAGCTGAATTCCACTGTATCGCGTCGCAGCAAGACTCGCATTTATTTAAATCGTCGTGCGGAGTAATCCTTCTGTACCTGTACTATTACTTATTCTGTGCTGAAACTTCTGACATTTGAAAAAATAAAAGACATTTTTTCTCTCAGTGATGTTAAATTCTGATATTTTACTTTTCCTAAGTGGGTTCATACCTACCTGAATACATATTTTTGAAGCAAACGAATTTAAATTCTTAATGCGAATTCGTACAAATTGGAATAAGAATTTCAAGCTTCTATATTATACGACTCCTACACTTATTTATCACAAGAAAACAAAGTTCTTCTGGGACATGCGATAGTCTTTCGTCGAGAGATATAATTCTACGAGGGCCGAATACTAAATACCAAATGATTTACTATGCTCTGTATGAGAACGTAATTTTTAGGGGATTTTCATGTTGATCCCACAGGAAATTGTTCTATTTGAGCGGTACTCTAAAAGGAGTTATTCTATTTATTCAATCTGTTTTTCAGGTACGGTTACGGTTTTACGGGTTACATTTATATTATTGTGAAAAGTTAAACGCAGAATTACCTACTTAAAAAGGCTGGGGCAACCAATTAATTGTTCTAATTGTTTAAAGGTTTTCTTTAATGAAATATTAAATTGATTTGGGAAACTCGTGAATAAATAAAATGTATTTACCCAGGTCCAGGTCCACCTTGCGTGAGATCGAAGACCTGCCGCGGGTTGAGCAGCCATTGGAATTTCTGTAAAAGTTTGGCCCCTTGGTTTCCCCCACTCTTCGGGTTAATGAACACCAACACTGGATTCACCTTTGCAGTCGGTATTGGTTTTATCACAAACGTTTTCTGCTCATTCTTAGAGTCTTTGCCTTTCTTCTTCGACGCATTTTTCTTCTTTGGCGATTTCCGCAACGACGACTTGAAACTACCTCTTCTAGGCAGTTTCACGATCCACGATGGCGGCACTATGATATTCGATTGCGATCCTGTCAAAACCATATTTTAGTTAAAAAAAATAAGTGCACATCTGTTATCTGAAAACCATTTCTGTCTTTTATATTTTCGTGTAAAATGAATTCAGCTTTCCAAAACACGGTTCTATAATATGTGGTTACAAGGAGACTCCCGCTCCCATTCAAATATGGCAACGTAAACGTGAATGAAGCGAACTGAATGGTCTGATCGCAGCATGATTGTTGAATAGAAGACACGAGATGGAAGTTGCTAATATCTATTGTTAAGAACTGGATTTGTTCAACATAGAATTGAATGATAATTTTATGACAAAAATAAGAAAATATTCATTAAATTCGTTTTCAGTGCTCTAAGATCAAACAATTTTATGTAAGGTACCTAAACAACATTCTTCCCCTATCCGTTGAAGGTTGAAACAGCTCTCTTTGTTGTGATACGCGTCTTTACACCAGGAACAGCTCAGCGCAACGATCTCCTTAGAGCTAAACGACAGTTTCGCCTGCAGCGACTGTTGGCAAACAATAAACAATATTATCAATATTATAGTCAGTTAAGTCGAATCCACGTCTAGCTTGAAAATTTTATCGACGATCAGCGATAACAAAAATAAAGAAGAAATAAAATATGTTATTTTATTTGTTCTTATGAAAACTTGGACGCCGATAAAATTATCCACGCTAGTATTCCGACCTGTTTGATAAAAAAATTATGAAGCAAGCAACGAATCTGATACTGATGATAGCACCTGACTAGATGGCGGGTAGGTATACGCACGCGATCAGAGATTTCATTGTCTACTGGTTTAGAGCTGTGAACTGAACCTCGCTCCGGTATGCACCACCCACAGCATCTGCGCCGCAGTGACTGTGACAACAAAACAACCATGCAACACACATGCACAAATAAAACATGAAACAAACTTAAACGTGCTTAAACATCCTGCACTTACACAAAATGATATGGCGAATGATAAAATAATAAACCTTTTACCTAAAGTACATTTACGTGCTTATAAAAAGCAATATGATGTTATTAACATGAATAAACACAAGCGAAAAAATACTCGGTACATTATTCACAATAGAGTAATGTTAGTGCTAGATATAACTGTGAATTTATGAAATTAAACTGAATGAACAAAGTGCTAAAATCAACGTTCTACATTGCTACTATGGAACAACAATGTTCAAGAAAATAGCAGGTAATTTCAAACTTAAAATTAAATGCGGCCGTGCGCGTTAACTGCTGAAATTATTTAATAGTCCGACGTACGAGGGTGGGATTATGAATGCAGAATGTAACCTAGAAACCTCGTTTTTTACGATTCAAAATCGTACGAGCTGTGTTGCTGTATGGGCGATATGCTAACACGTCATTAAAAATGAAGTTTTAATTTTGCCGGGGGTTTGTAGTTCGTGTCGTGTCGCATGTGAGGCTCGTGCGAGGTAAATGCAAATCATTTCAACTTGACAGAGAGTAGGGCGGGCGGCTGGCGCGGCGCGTGGGCCGTGGCTTGTGCTGCGGGCGAGAGCGCGACTACACCTGCCGCGCCCGCATCACTCATTCATGATAATATCCGACTGACAGATTGCATTACGTAGGTAAGTATGAGTTATTCAACTTCGGATGTATTATGACCTATTAAAATACTAAGCTAATGAAGTGGAAATTAATGTATTTTTAACATTATTATCCTATATTAGGTACATTTATTTATTTACATTTATTTTTTAGGGAACGTAATAGATTCAGAAAAGTTTCCTGAATAAGAAAATTACATTGTCTCCGCAATGTTTTACGGGACGGATGAAATGTTTTAGCTCCTAAGCAAAACATTAATGAATAAATGGGTACAAGACAAGTTGTACCTCGGTCGCGGTAATTTTTAGTTCTCTGCGGAACCATAGATTTAACTATTTAAGTGACCATGTCGTATATTCGCCAGCAGTAGAGTGGTGAATATGCTAACACGCAATTCTCGAATAATAACGAAAGCTGTCCGGTTCCTATATTCCGGGTACTTTATGTAAATATGTAAATGAGCCACCTACACGGGCCAGGTAATTATTCAACTTTTGTCACTTTTCAGTGAACAAAGCCTCTATTTGTTTGTCATTGTAGGAGTCTGAAATGTTAATGCTCACGAATAGATGGCACTTGAGAAACTTTTCCCATTATTTTGGGGACGGTCGTATACCTACGTAGCACGTACACATCCGTTTTCACGACGAAACTCAACATCGATTCGTTAATTTATTAAAGACGCAATTAAGAGCAAGACGGCATTAAAGTAGCTTCTTTGTCTGTAGGGACAGCATGGTTGCTCAGCAACACAGAGTGACCGTACGCGCCTTACATATTCATGAACAAATCTATTCGAGAATCAAACGAGGTTTTGCTAATGACTTTTAATTATGCTCAATGAACGAATTTAGTCGGCGAATCAAAATGATTCTTTGTCCGAATAAATGAAGTCGTCTAAAGCTGCGTAGACGATTCTTCTGTTTGATTAGTAAATTAATAACACTAAGCAAAAACTGGAGTCGGGTGATTTTCATTTTATGAAATTAATGAATGAATGAGATCTTAATTAAATAACATTGTCAACTTGTATATTGTTTAGGTATAAACTTGAGCACTGATGAGTAAAATATGTATACCGTATGATGAAATGGAATAAGTACTAATTCGCATAACGAACGGAGCGTATGAGACGCGAAGTCCTAACTTAATTTAGGAGCGGGTAGAAAATTGCAGCTGATTCCGCTTAAAATCTTCACAATGAAATAAGGATGTAGCAAATTAGTCTTTGGCTAGAGTGGATTGGATTTTAGAGACTGACATGACGTAGTAAAGGAATTGTAGAGTATGTTTTGCACACACAGATGCGTGGCTGTAGATAGCAACGCGTTACAGGAATCATCATTGCATTTCGATTCCCGTTAGATCGTATTACCTATGAGAGTTAACGTAGCATATTACACAGTGCATGCGTTCTATAAGAAAATGCAAGTAAAATTGCCAAGATTTCAGAGCAGTCAACGAGAATCCAAGTCAGTTGATATTGTTTTTTTAAATGACACCTCAAGAAATAGTTACAGTTCGGTCTCTGTTTGAGAAGATATTTTATTTCGTGCAAGTAAAGGGCTAAGTAGTTTAATGATATTTTGTATAGACTTCTCATTTTCAACTTATGTTCAACGCGCACGTAAATTTTTACTAACAAGGTGGTAAAAGTGTAGAAAAAAACAGTAAGAAGTTGATAGTTCAGGTGGTCACCTTCCCGCAAGCCTTGCACTTGCCCTTCTCCGATCTTCGGTGGACCCAGTGGTGGTGCGTGACGGTCTGCTCGCGGTACTGGCGCACGCCCACATCCCGGAACGTTGGCTTGCACGTGAACTGTACGCGCTCCATCAGAATGTCGATGCACGCCGTGTGCGCGACGATCTTGCACGCGGAACACTTCATTCGGGAGCCGTGTTTCTGGGAATAACAAAATAATGTTAGTAACAATTTTTTTAGTTTATTAAAATACAACAACAGGTCAGTTATAACTGATTGGATCAGATCGAACGAAGATCGAATCATATAAATATGAATAAATTCCTACTTATAAACAAATTATGTCTAAATCTAATTACTACTCGTTTAGAATAAATTATTTTATTGAGAAAAGTTTACACTAGTTGGCACTTGAAGATTTCGCGCCCTTTTGTATTAATTTTTTTTTGTTTTTTTTTTCAATTGAACTTCAGAGCAGTTTTCAAGACAATCAGAAAGGGAATTCTTATTTCAAAAAATGTTAAACAGGTCGGTTCTAAAATAAAAAAAAGTAACGGCACAGATTAAAGAAGTATGGTAGAGTTGCACTAAATCTCAATCAAGACTTATAATAAACAAAAAACGTTGGACGTTAATTAATGTCAATTTTCGAGATGTATTCACATCCTATTAAAGTTTTATATTGGACCCTGAATTTTCTCCCATTCAAAGTCCGTTCAAATTGCTTTTACGGCTGGCTACAAGTTCAGTGACACAGAGCTATCTGTTGCATGCCAATGATTGCATGCGACGGTTCACGTGTGCCGCGCTTTATGCAGCGTCAGTCTAGTCTACTCACGTTTGAAGCCTACACCGGCATGACGTAATTCCTTACAAATGCTGAATGGAAACGGGTATTTTTTGTAAAAGCCCATCCAATTTTGTATTTAAATCCAAAGGTGCGCTCAAAGTGGAAAGGCAGCTCAAACTTTTGATCCAGGTCTACTTACGGAATCCATTTGAAAAGGGTATTCAGTGTTGACAGGTGTATTCAATTACGTTCTTATTAACGGACTTGTACTGTGCAATGTCTTTGATACACGCGAGAACTAAATGACAAGGGTTCAGAAGTTACGGATTTTCGGAGTTCCGGACGCAGACTAATGTTAACTATTCGGTTTGGCACAGTACAGTTGACAGCACACTCTTCAGATTAAATATGTTTGTTGCAATCTAGCACCTATTACCACTACATTAGCAGCTGAATACTGAGTCAGCTTGACCTCTGTACTCGTTCTCTCGTAAAGTCATACACAACAGCAGCTGTTACCGCAGCAACTGCAGTTACCGCTGCACAACCTTAACTTTAGAATAAGCTCGTTTGCAAATATTGTATACTTACTATATTGGTTACTATAGCTAATTTTAAAAATTAAATTAAAAAGGTTTTGTGCTTAAAATACCCCGGTACAGCATAAAATTAAGTCATGACAAGTGTATTATCAAAATTCAAAATCTTTTGAATCAGAAGCATAGTACATAATTACAACGACATAAAACCGATGACAGTGAAAATGTCTGAAAGAAAATAATACATCTATACTTATAATAAATCTGTAGAGAGGTCAATTCTGTACATGAAATATATTTTGAAAATAACTATCAGGGGGTGATAAGTGATCGATACTGATGCCAAAAATGCAATCAGTAAAATTTTTGTCTGTCTGTCTGTCTGTCTGTCCGTCTGTATGTTCCTTATAGCAACAAAAACTACTAGACGGATTTTAACGAAACTTGGTACAATTATTCTTCATACTCCTGGGCAGGTTATAGTATACTTAGGAATTCCCACGGGAACAGGAATTAGCGGGAAAATCCTTTTGAATGAAAAATCTAAACCGCTTAAGTTAGACGCTTGAAATTTTGCATGTAGGTACCTTAGTAAACTTAAAGCTTAGTTACAACAGGATATTGCAAAATTCTCACGGGTAAGGGAGCTAGCGGGAAAAAACATTTGTATGAAAAATCTAAACCGCGTTAGATGCTTGAAATTTGGCATGTAGGTACCTTAATAAACTTAAAGCTTAGTTACATTAAGGAATTCCCGAAATTCCCACGGGAACGGGAATTAGCGGGAAAATCCTTTTGTATGAAAATTCTAAACCGATTAAGTTAGACGCTTGAAATTTGGCATGCAGGTACCTTAGTAAACTTAAAGCTTAGTTACAACAGGATATTGCAAAATTCCCACGGAAAAACATTTGTATGAAAAAATCTAAACCGCGTTAGATAGATGAAGGGGGTAAAACGGGATCCACGCGTACGAAGTCGCGGGCGGCCGCTAGTTTCGTACATAAATGTACACAGGTACTGCCCATGTGCGCACTTTTAAGCTGCATTATTTATAGACAAATCAAGGTTCAAAGAGAGGCAATGTTGGCATTGCATAAAATGTACAGAAATGGAATGGAATCGAAATGGAGTATTTTATTTTGACACTGGATTATAGCGGTTGGCTCACTCACGTGGGCTTTTCAGTTGGTTTCAGTGTTTATCGAAAGTTTTATCGAAATATAGGTTTTAAATTGGAAAATAGTAGGTATATTATATGACTTTTTATATGGATCAATCTTCCTTTGTAGATCCTTTTCTCCTTTGAGATATTAATTCTTTTGTGATTTGTAAATATCACGCAAAATATTTAAATCACTAACCAATATAGACACGAAGGTTTAAAGATGATTTTTAATGTTCCAGGGTTGATTTCAATATAAGTACATTTTATTTTTTCCTATGTATTGTAGAGCAATGCCGGCAAATTAGCTCACGATCGATGGTGTGTGGCAAAGACAAGCTTTTATTATATCGGCAATGACAGGTCATCACATCGATAATGGTGGAAGCGGGCCATTAATCTTACATTCAGCTATGACGGACTACCGGCCTACAGGCACAATGGGCAGGAAGCCTGCTAATGGTTGTCGAGGAAATTACAATTTCTTGCCCAGTCGCTCGGTACCACACGCTAACCTGTGTAAAAATGTTTGGCTGTACTGAAATTCAATAGGGTTTTTTCGTGTTGCCTCTAACAATGAGGCCTTTGTGCGCGCTAAAGGAACAAATACAGAGAGTGGTGAAAGTGAAAGATATCCAACAGGCTATTAGATAAGCCTTATTAAGCGGTATGAAAAGAAATGGATCTCTTTTTTAATATAGTACAATGTTTGATAGGTAAATATTTATAGCATAAGTACGTCTGTCTAGAATTGGTTATGATAATGATTTTTGAAGCCACGATAGCCGAACGGTGAAGGGGGACTCTGGCCAACACGAGATCAGAGGAACGCGGGTTCGAATCCCACCGCCTCGACTATTGTGGTGAGCCCACTCGTAACACAAGAATATTTAGCTTACCACGCTAATGGGACTAATATTAGTAATCTGTGCAATACAAATTACTAATAATCTTTGAACAAAAATTTACCTTCTTACATAAACCCGCGGCTAAATGGAACCGATATGAATGAAAACAACAAACCTGATAACTATAAAATGATGTTTCCATCCAAAGTTTGACTAGCCTTATGCATAGCTAGCCTATCTAACTTAGCTTATCTAAGCCAAATCTAAGCTCACGCAGCTGCTGCGTCTTTCATATTTGGATTCACACCGTTAATTTATAGAGCTAACTTAAGTCAACTAAAGTGAACCTGCCTGCTGTTGCACAATGAGCAAGAGAGCTAGTGTTTAGTATATTCAAGAAATATATGCAAGAGAAACTAATGATAAGAGATTTCCAGTATTAAGTATTGGAGTATTTATATGTTTGCTGCCAGCAGTCTTAACTTTTTAATAAAAAGCTGTCATGTTTTTTTGTATCACTCACAATATTTATGGATACAGCGTGTTCTTGTTGCGCCATTAAGAAAAGTTATAGCAAATCATAACGTTTCCCAGTTTTACGAGCTTAGAAATTTTCCTTCATACCTTTGCTCCGTTAACGCGCCATATGGGCAATCGTAAATAGATGTAAGCGCCACCGTCTTTTCTTATTTCATTGAAATCCGATTTACGTATTATTTTGTTTTATCACCTACTTATAAATTTTTAAAGTAAATCATACATATGGATTTTAAGTCGCAGCCGTATATCGGCTTTATTTATATGAGAAAAGAAAGATTCTGAAAAATAAAGAAATTAAATATTGTCTTTGTGATGACCACTACAACAGAACTATAACTTTCATAGACAAGTTTCTGGTGACTATTATTAAATAATCAGAATTTTCTTTATTAATACATATTTACCACAAACTGGTTTATAAATCAAGTTTCATCAAAAATAAAATACTAGACTGCTTAGTCTATTATTAAAGAACTCAACTATTTTTTTTTGTTTTTGGTATGTAAGAAGAGCGATAAACGAGAAAAGCAAAATAAAGGTAAAACTTCTGCTCATAAAAAGTAAGTAGGTCAGCGCTTTATCTAATAAGAAGACACTACATAAAGAAAAATTCTGAACGAAACGTTTTGATGTGTTCCTCCTACTCGTACGTACTCAAATTTCAAAACGCAGAAAAAATATCTCGCATAACCTTTCCCCATATGAATATTATTTTATTCTTTTTGTTGCTTCCAATTATCCTTTGTAGTCAGTATACGGAAATTCCGCATCACATCACAATTTTATAACCATCGTTTAATGTTGTGCGGTTACAATCCATTAGGTAAAATAAAACATGGATGAAGAGAAAAACGGTATTTGCAGCTCTAGTAGATTATAATATTTTATGATACCAGTTTGTTAACTTGACATGGAATTGTAGCCTGAGATGAAGGTGAGGATTTTTTTATAAACAAGAGCTCATTAATTTGGTAGTAAGTATAAGAATGAATATTCACGACGTTTTTAATTAAGAAAACGCGGAAAATAATTGTTTTTTTTTTACCATTATGGCCTATTGATAGAGGTGAGGCATTTCTTTACTGAGACCTCACGTGGACTTCTTGAGAGAACTTTTAACTCCTTGAACGTGGTGCACTGTTTTGTTTTTTTTTTGCCTACCATCTCCATGAACATTTTTCCGATAAAAAAAGAAACGCCTAATTTTTTCACGTACTGTGCCATACCACAGATTAAGCCATACTTAGCCCATAGAGTATGATTTTAATGAGGTTCAGGCGGGAGAACAGCTGCATGCTGCCAAATAAATAAAATAATATTGAAGTATAGTTCTTGCAACTCACGAAGGCGAGTGAGATAATACTTTTGTGTGTGTATGTGTACATGCACATAACGATAGTGTTTGAAAAACGAACAACTGATCCAACCCACAACACCTTACATAAATATCATTATTATTAGTTATTTCATTCATTCTTTTTATTATTGATATTTTAATATATAATTTTATATACAGAAAGCATCAGTGTCATAATATGCATTAAGAACCTCTACCTCTAATGATCAGTGATGCGATGAAAATGCACGGAACCGTCTACACACGAGCAAAATTTTAACGCGTTTTTTTTACAAATGTAAAGTCCTTAGCATTCCACATAAGTTGTTGCGAGTGTGCCTACATAGTCGACCCCTTGGCCCTTGGGGCCGATGTAAAGCCCATTTTATTTTCTATGAGATGTCGTGTTAGCTACCCTCATTACGAGATCCGAGTAACTCACTTTACATAATGATACATCGGAAAGTCGGCCGACAGTGACTATAGAGACGGGTGGGAATTTCGCGGAGTTACAAATTGTATCACTTATTAGTTCCTTCCGTGTTTCTCTTTCATAAATCATCAAGATAACTACGCCACGTGGTAGAGTATCTAGGAGGTCGTATGTAGCGTTCATTTCACACCCCTCTGAAACAGTTGACCTGGAAAACTGAAATTGCATCGTATAAAGTGAGCGGCAGAAAATGGCGAGAAAAGTTTAAGAAATACGAGACAGTTAATTACTAAATGCTGCGCTTTGATTGTGTGATTACTGAGAGGAGGACAAGGCAACTATAAACCGAAAGAAGGACAATAACAACAGTCGATTAATATTTTTTTTACTAAGATTTACCTTATTTAAGTAAGTAGGTATGTTTTTTGGTTTTTCCATGTCTACATTGTCTACATTATTTTTTTGTAAGTGAGACGAATGCGTGATCTGCTAATAATTCAAACAATTATCTAATTTAACTCTAAACATAAGAGTTTTGCTGGTAATCGATTTGGAAATCTCCATTTGTGAACACTTATTTAGTAAATCTTATTTAATGTCCCTAAAAGTAAATGGAGTAACTCTATTATACGGCAATATTATTATTATCGAATAAGTGGAGCGGTATCAATATGCTTTCAGGTCATTTACTACCGCAACATTCTAGACCAGCTTTAATTAGGTAAATATTAATGTTTGAAGTGAATAATTATAGTCGTCTACCTAAAATAATACGGGTCAACAATTTCAATAATAATAGGGTTAATTTGCTAATAGTGTTAAATGAACCGTAAGCTCGTAGGTAATTGACGACACGACACGAGAAATGCTATGCTAAAACACGTCCTAATTGGTCATAAATTAATACTACTTTAACAGATTAATAGATTAATCAAGTAATTGAAATATTATAATATACTTAAAAATAATTGTGCGCCGCAGGTTTTCTAAATAAATAAATTGTCTATACGATGTAAAACTATTTTCCCGCACGTGCACATAAATAATTTTCATTTGTAGTACCTATACCACGGTAATACTATCTATACACTACTATACAGTATTCTAACTCGACCACATTTTTGAAATAAATGTCAACAGCCGGGCGGTACGTCACCGTATGACAACATGCGATAGGGCTGCCCACCTGCAGACCCTATTTTCATTACATCTGCCTACATAGAACTTCTTCTAGTTTTGTGAATGTATTTTGTGACTGTAATTTTTTATTTTATTTTGACAAACAAAATACTTTGTGAATGAAATAGGATAAAAATGAATGATGTCTTGTCATTAGTAGATTTAATTAAAAAAATATTTGTGTTAAGATTTAGTAACAAATCTTATAAATTTGCGACCGTAAAATGTATGCGCCTCGACTGAGGCATACAAAATGCTTGATTGCAGACACTAGCCCATGTTAACATGTGCATGCATATAAATGGTATGGTGAAGTCAGAAAATTGATATCATCATTTCAATAATATTAANTACTTAAAAATAATTGTGCGCCGCAGGTTTTCTAAATAAATAAATTGTCTATACGATGTAAAACTATTTTCCCGCACGTGCACATAAATAATTTTCATTTGTAGTAGGTAATAATATCATCTATTCTGCTGTGCTATGTCCACAGCCACATTCGTATCTATTTCTTCAATGTAATAAAAGGGTTTTCATGAACCCTCGCTGATATGAAGCTTAGAGCAAAGATTGCAATATTTGGCAAGGTAATAAACCAGTGCCATATTCGGCGACCCAAGGAATAGCTCACGAAATATTGAATTTCCAAAGTAATATAATTTTGCGTATTTGTACGAAGCTGGGGCACGCTATGATTTGAAAGATGGGGGATTTATTAAAGATATTTTCGATGGCAGCACTAGGTGCACAGAATAATATATCAACATCTTATACTTACTTCTTATATTAGCTTATACTTCGATAATGTGACGATTTCCTGTAAGGATCGGCAGGCAGGTAGTAATAGTTCCAGGGCGACTCTGAAATATCTTGTGCGATGACAGCATCTTTGCGTTGCGAGTTTACTCGTTTGAGTAGTCAGATGAGGCAAATATTGTGAGTCTTCACACCGCGAAGCTACCGAGTCATGCCTCACGAGCCAGGCTCGCAATGTCGATACACGTATCAGAGTAAATACAAATGAGTAGGTCATCTTCATAGAAACGCACGGGCGCGGTTTGTATGTGAGCGCGCCAACACGTATACGGCGCGCACGCACACACTGACAAAATTTAGCGGTGATTAGCGGTGGTTGCGTAGGTATTTACAACTACAAAAGCTGCCACAGTGTATAGCTTGATGTACTGTACTACACTTAGTTTTTCTAGTACTCACTTGGCATTCGGCGTCTCCTACGTAGCAGCAGTCCCCGGAGACGGAGGTGGGCGACCAGAGGTGCTCGCCGCTGATCGCGCCGTCGCCCCAGTCCGGGGTGGAGCGGAGCACTCGCGCGCCGGCGTCGCCAGTGCGTCTGAAACCAACACCCCAATTTAATATGAGTTAAAACGGTCTATAAATCGGTGTAATGACCGTTTTAAAAATCAATCCCTAATTTTTAAGTGACCCATATGAAAACAAAATTCCTGTTATGTGTTACCATAGAATGTCACTTATAATCATGCGAAAACAAAAATTAGAAATAGTACGAGTCGTAGAAAAAAACATACGTGAAAATTCAAGGGTCGAGCGAGAAAATAAAAACAAAAGAGAATCGGTTTTGGTCATCGAGAAAGAATGGAGATTTTCTTAGTGGCCAGTGTCGCGTAGCCAAAGAGGCCGCAACAGTTTGTAAATTCAATGTTTTAACTCGTAACTTTTTTATGTAACTTGTGTGAAATATTTGAGAAAATTGAATTTTCTGTTAGAACGGAAAATAGTTTTGGAAATCTACTTAGATTTTAAACTTAAAATAATGTGCTTAATGTAATGCTTAAAATAATGTGTTGAAAAACATCAATCTTTTAAACTGCGATTTCCAACCCGCCTGCCAAGCGTGGAGATTATGGCAAATCCCTCCACCATAGTGGAGGAGGCTCATAGTCCAGCAGTGGACTGTAAAGGGCTGTTGATGATGATGATGAATGTGCTTAAATAATTCATATAAGTCATGTTCAAAAGACGACATTAAAATAAATAGAAACATTATAGGTGTACCAGAATCTCATGGCAAACAAAAATATTGGAAAAGTGTGTTTTTCATATGGCAATTGTCTATGGTTTAACTGTCACCTGTCAAAGAAAATTATGAAATCTGTCAGCCGCTGCAAAATTTTTGTAATCTCTTCTTGACTATTTGTTATTTTTCTGAAAAAGTCGAAAAAGTTCAAGCAAAGCATATTGTTTTCAATGTGAATTGTAAAATAAGGCATAATTCAAAGTCAATCTTTGATTCTAAAGCGCGTCGTCGAGTTGACAGTAAGTTGGACTGAAATGTTTTGATACATTTAGTTTATTACCCAACTGCGTCAGAAGGAGGGTTGGGTTTTTTTATATTATTCTTACTTAATAGCTGCTTTATCGGGGTTTTCAGGTATATCTCACAAATTGGTGCAGATGTTATGACCATGTAAAGAAAATTGAAAAAGATTTCATCAAAGCAAGATTGAATAATGAAGAAGTTTCCAATTTTTTTCTTTTAAATAAACTTGAAATAAATATAAGTAAAACTAATAATAATTGTAAAATAATCATGAAAATATCTCTACAAATAAATAAGTTACAGGGCCCTAAAGTTGCGCATAACTATTCACGCCATTTTGATCGGTGTATTCACGACAGTCATTCGGAGTACAAACAGTAAATCACCCCTGATCCAGCCAGTGCTGTTGACAGGTTATTTTTTTTAAATCTAGCAGTTTTTAATTTTGCAGCTAGGGTCACTCAAGATTCTTTCTTAGTAAAGAAGCCATATACAAAAAGAACGGCACCGCCTATGTTTCAGTTCCACGCGAAAATATGTAGGTAATATAAATAATTTATTTCTCAGATATTTCTTGATCGATTTAAATAAAAACTTCACAGTCTTTTTAGTTTTGGTATATATTTTAATCCCATTCAGCGAAATATAGTGTTTTAACATCAGAAACTTCTCCATTGAAATGCTGGAAGAGCAATTTATTTACAGTACCTCTTTATCTTGATCATCTGTTTATTGAAAAACAAGAAATGCAAGTGAAGTTTTAAGAATCGTAAAATTAAAATTAAAATAAAAAATAAATTAAAATTCATAAATAAATTAATTAATAAATTAAAATTTGAATTTAGTTCTGAATGAAGTGATAAGTTAGAAGTATGATGCATAATAAAATTAGTTACTTAAAGTAATATACGATTTATTCAATTTCAAAACATTTACCTATGTTAAAAATCTGATGTCTAACAACATTCTTCATACACATACCTACCTAAAATGTATATTCGTACTTCATGTTCATTAATATTAAAGTAATAAAAGTAAAAAATTAAAGGGTAGTATTTAAACGAGTGACTGTAAATTTATGTTGTAAGTGTCAAAAATAATTAATGTGGGCTAAAGAATTACTNCGTTTCCCGCGCTTTTTCTACGTGAAAATTCAAGGGTCGAGCGAGAAAATAAAAACAAAAGAGAATCGGTTTTGGTCATCGAGAAAGAATGGAGATTTTCTTAGTGGCCAGTGTCGCGTAGCCAAAGAGGCCGCAACAGTTTGTAAATTCAATGTTTTAACTCGTAACATTTTTATGTAACTTGTGTGAAATATTTGAGAAAATTGAATTTTCTGTTAGAACGGAAAATAGTTTTGGAAATCTACTTAGATTTTAAAATTAAAATAATGTGCTTAAATAAGTCATATAAGTCATGTTCAAAAGACGACATTAAAATAAATAGAAACATTAATATTGCATATTATTATTGTACCTATCTGAGAAATGTGTTAAAATGTGAATGTGTTAGATACTTATTAGAAAATAGTACATTAGTTAGAATATTAAACTGAATATAAAATGATCAAGTCAAGTTAATTAACTTCGAAACTAATAATTTCAACGCGTTTTCAAATATTAAATTATGTTATTATTTAGTAGCCTTCCAACGAACGGGTTTTTCCAATGTCTTTAATTTAATTAAAACTTTCCAATCAGCATATTATTTTAAACTACATTGAAATTACAATATTAATTCATGTCTACAAACGAACCATCCAATTACGGTTAAGTGCTATTAAGCTATTAAGGCGCATACTGCGACTGCTGTGATGTTATACCGTCGTATAACCATTATTTCTAACTGTTGTCATTTAACTTTCAGTAAAAACTATCAGTATGAGCTGTAATAGATTTTGTCTATACTATTTCTAAATACACAATATTATAAAGAGGAAAGATTTGTTGATTTGGAAAATTATTTCAACATCATTAAATCCTACATTATTTCTGATGAACATAAGCGGTACAAAGTTCGCCGGGTCAGCAAGTGGATAATAACTTTACCTTAACTGGTGCGATGTAAAGTAAAATAATTAGTCGTTTATTGCCACTAAAATATTAACAGACAAGCTTATAGATTAAAATTTACGTACCCATTTTATTCTATGTTTGCCACTAACGACAATTTTCATTTTTCATCTAAAGTAATGAAACATCTTAGAATGAAATGAATTCAGTTTAATGAAACTTCTGAAGGTAAGTAAATGTTAAAGACGACAAGCAAAGTAGTGTAGTAAATGAGTTCCTTGTGGCAATCAGAATAAAGTAAGCTATTAAACATCAAAGAACTTTTAGGGCTGTTTAATAAATAATTTGATTAAGATTGTGGTTTGGAATCAAATAAATATTACTTTCTCATTGAATAGGTAGGTACTTACTCAAATTCAACAGACATTCATGACATTAAAATTGTCATAGAGACATGAAACGTTTAGAACTCTAATCAAGAATGAAATAAATTCAATAAATTTATATTAATGTAAGAAGAATGGGGTTGTATAAAATAAAAATATTATTTTATTTCTTAACAATAATAATAAACAAAAACTTAAAATATTTCAGAAGTAAAAACTCGGGTAAAGAATGTAATGAAACCTCTTGGATAGCGGCATAGAGCATTCGAAATTTAAATTAATTTTAAAAGAAATGAACAAAGGCCTCGCAGAAAATTGCCAGTCGTTTTTCATCTCTCACGCTAAAAACACTTCCAAAACAGTATAAAAAATTTAAAACAATTTTTCAAGAATATAAAAAACAGAATAAAAAGTATTCCTGTTAAAATTTATTGCGAAAAATTGCTGTGAGTATTGAATGGAGTGTTTTTTTGTGAAAATAAACGTGTTTACTTTATACAAGTAAAATTTGTGACAATTTTATTCCACGATTGTTTAGCTGCATTTTCGTTACGTAGCTACCTACATCAATACTTGATGCGATTGTGAAATCTGCCATGAATGTTCTTCAGGTCTGATTCTAATAGTTTTTTTTCGTTTTTCAGTTACTTTAAGCGAAAATGGACTGCGCATACTGCAACCGTAGCACAGAGGGGTGCGCCTCGATCAAATGCAGCCTGTGCGCGTCCCAGTTCCACCTGGAGTGCGTGAGTAGCGAGCACCTGGTGCCCAGCAACAACAGCTGGCGGTGCTGCAAGTGCGAGGCGATGGCGGCGGCTGCGCTCGCGCCCCCGGTCATTGATTCAGTTCGTGCATAGATCGTAATTGCCAAGTGTAACATGGTGTAATAGTGTAAATTGACTGTGATTCTGCCGAAGTTCATTTTGAAATAAATACAGTGGTTCTTATTTGGTCGTTTTATTTTCGAATTTAGACAGGTATAAGCGAGGGCAGAGGGCGCTAGGAGAGGGCAGCGGGCGCTAGGAGAGGGCAGAGGGCGCTAGGAGAGGGCAGAGGGCGCTAGGAGAGGGCAGAGGGCGCTAGGAGGGGGCAGAGGGCGCTAGGAGGGGGCAGAGGGCGCTAGGAGGGGGCAGAGGGCGCTAGGAGGGGGCAGGGGGCGCTGGGAGAGGGGAGAGGGCGCTAGGAGGGGGCAGAGGGCGCTAGGAGGGGGCAACAGGCACAGGAGTAGGACAGAGGGCACTAAGCGATGCCAGAGGCCAGAGGAGGGCGGAGGCCACAGGGTAGGAGGGCGGAGGCCACAGGGTAGGAGGGCGGAGGCCACAGGGTAGGAGGGCGGAGGCAACAGATTATGAGGGCGGAGGGCGGAGGGCACAGAGTAGGAGGGCCGAGGGCACAGGAGTAGGGAGATGGAAGGTAGCAGAGTAAGAGGGCGGAGGGCACAGGAGTTAGAGGGCGGAGGGCACAGAGTAGGAGGGTGGAGGGCACAGAGTGGGAGGGTGGTGGGCACAGGAGTAGGAGGGTAGAGGCCTGGGTACTGGTATGGAGGAATTCTGTATTAAGTATGAGGGCACGTGAGAATACGAGGACAACGGGCAAGGCATTCCACTCTTATTGCGTACTCTCTTTGTTAAAAGAAATATGTAATTATTCATTTATGTCCCACATATAGTATTAAAATAATGCCATAAGTTTTTAGTAGGTCTCTCATATTTGGATCGTGACTTGGGTGTGATTTCTCTGCAATCAAAGGCGTGATCGTGCGTTATTGCGCTCTGATGGGTTCACGGGCGTCATGCACAGATGAGCTTGATCATTATACCGGGCAGTAATGCCTCGTATTCACACTAGGGGACAAAATGGACAACAAACATGTGACCATTGACACGTCACGTAAATTCGAGCGTTGTCGTGGAACGTTAGCAGACTATTCTTGATTAATGCGGCACCTTTTCTAAACTTACTCGTACCTAGGTATTTACTACGTTGTCAGAAGTGTTGAGCTAGTGCGAGACGAGTCGCCAATATTGCTAGAAATACTTATTCAGTAAATACAGTAAGCCTGATGTATGTCTGAAGAATGTCTACATTGTTTGTTTTGAGTGTGATGTTTTATATTTATATTCTTATCTTATCTGGGCCATTAAGTAAGTGCCATTACATATAAATCGCAATTAAAATATCTCGCATTTCACGAATACTACTCAGCCGATTTTAGTTTCGATCCTGATTCTGTGAAATCTACTTTAACGTAGAACAATACACGACCGAGTTATAAATAACATATTATTACGAACTGTGAAAACAATCATCTTCCTTAACTGTTCAACTCGGGCTTTCATTACCTAGCTGCAGAAAGTTTCTAGAAAGGTCAATCCCTTCAATTTGTTGGTTATGAGATTATACGATCATTATATCCAGGCCATGGTCTGTGTGAGAATAGCGTCGGGTAATCTTCGGGGCGGGTACTGGGTTTAACAGGGTTGCGTGAATTTTGTTTACTTATTTTTCCCTATTGTATTACTATCAGGTAATAAAATGGCGGATTGAAGACAGCGTACGTACAAAGAAACTACCGTGAATTTTATTTACTGATTTTATCCATTGCTAATGCAAGGCTGTCCCAACTCCCATGGCTTAGCTGCTTGCTAAGCCCTAAGAAGCTGACAATTTACATAAGAAAGACTTACTTCCTCTTGATTCAATACAATACCGATTCAACTACAAAATCGCAGAAATGTAACAGGATTTGTTTACAAAAATACTTTCAAAACAAGTTTTACAAATGATTTTATTTTTCGTGGAGTAGATTCGACTCCGGTTTCGTATTGTGAAGCAATTTTTTCTACTAGTCGTAAATTAATTAAAGTGTAACAAGATACAAAAACAAATATTGAGAAAAACAATGATTTTAACTAAACGTGTACCCTTTTCAGATAAGTAAGTTAATCATACAAACAATAAATGATTGAAAAAGACAAATAGATGAACTGTTTATTCTGTAGGGNACTGTTTATTCTGTTATTGGTATTAGACAAACAAAGTTTACGAACCAATGCCAGCCCTGGAGCATCTATGTATCCACCGGACTTCCAAGTAGGCATTACTGTTTGTGAGGTGCGGGCTGAAGGGATCATATCATATTTGCTCTTATTGGATTCGGGTCGCAGAGTTTATGGTATTGCGATGGTCCCGAAAAGGTAGCTGTGGACAGACTTGGCAGTTCATAGAGTAAGTTTCTTAATTAATTTTGATCCCGTCTATACTACTACGTATACTTAGTACTATAAGTACAGGGTATACGGTACATGCCGGCTTAACTTTTATGTTGGATAAATAAAAATAATTAAAACTACAGAGAGTGAATAGGCACTTACAGGGCAGACATGTACCATCCTAGACTGCATCCCACTTACATCAGGTGCGTGCGATTGTGGTCCAATATACCTGCCTTGTTTTGCATAAAAAAAATAAAAAAGACAATACATTAAGATAATAGGTATTCACCTGGCTACCTCGAAATAAAACCAATTCAATGCTTAAAAGAATTGCGGATAATCTTGCTTAACATACTTAAATTTAGAAAAAAAAACAAAAAAGTAGAAGCTTTATGATAACTACAAGTATTTATGGAATAAAAATACGAGTAGGTATCAATAATAATATGTGTGTGTTAGTAATAAAAAATTACAAAAATGGCTCCAAAGTGCAACGCCTGCGGGAGATTTTTGGCGGCGATCGAGGCAGTGACATGCCCTAAGTGCACCGCAACGAACCACAGGGCCTGTGTCGGTATCCCCCAGGGGACGCAAGTGGATAGCTCGTGGCTGTGCCCTGAATGCAGAGCTAGGATGCCGAGGGCAAATGCAGACAGCACCCCTGTAAGACGAGCAGTTGGTATGCAGTTGCACAGCATGGACGTGTCGAGCCTGGAAGACCAGCTAAATACCACCGCACTTGACGCAACACTGGAAATACAGACGATGCAGGATCTCTGCCTTGATGTCCGCACTTTTCGTGAGGAGATGAGGAGGGCCAGCGAGGAGTGCAAGGTGTGGAAGGCGGAAATGTCTGAGCTTCGGTCAATTATGACTACACTGGGAGACAGGATGACGCAGCTGGAGGAGCGGGTCGGTGTCATTGAGAGGCAGGTGTCCTCTCAGCGAGCGGAAGAAGGTGCCATGAAGACGCTGGAGATCACAGTTTCGCAGCTGAAGAGAGACCTCAATGAGCGGG